TACTTTATTCTATTATTAGGAACACTGTGTATTGTCTTTGTATTTATCGGAGATATTGGAATAAAAAAAAGTTTCAAATGAATCAAGAACAAAACTAAGAATAATACTTAAGTTAGTCCTACTTTAGCAACTAATTATTTTACAATAATTGATTTTTTACGTACATCTATCGGCACAACATTAGACTAGGATAATTACACTACTAAGATTATATACCCGAAATGAATGGAAAAACATTCGTTTTACACTACACCGCTTCGACTTCGGAAAAACAGTAAAATATGACGATTCGACTTTTACTCCACATCGAATTATACCCAATAAATTCGCAACTGTCACTGTCTTGTAAATATCAAAAAGTAGATTTTAAAACCCTTCCAGTAATGTTTACGTATTACCATTATTAATATTTTACTTTGACTAACTTGTATGACATTCTATTGATAGAATTAAATTCATCAGTAAAAATAGCATTATTAAAGTAGCTAATTAAGTCTCTAACTCAATATCATCCAAAATCTTCAACATTGAAAACACGAATTATTTGTCAATTTAAAACAACATTGATGCTGTGATCTTACCGGGAAAAGATGGGCTTCTGATATCCAATATTTAAGACAAAATAAACATTTTACCACTGGTACACGAATCGTGTACCATAATGCGTTTCAGCCCCAGTTCTAGCAAGAGACTCGAGGTACGAGGCTAGACATATTGCACCAAACCAAACGGCGTATGTAGACTGGAATAACCAGGCGCTAGAAATTTGCATTCGATTGAGACTGCTGGCTTATTTCACGGAACATAACTGGTTTGAAATTAGAGTAAAAACGGAAACGATTGAATGTATATCAGTTTATATACATTCATATTACAGTATTATTTGAGTTGCAACCCACTTGTGTCAATTTCTAGGTCCCAAATGTTAGCGATTTAGCTCCTTTAAGTACCTGCTGGTCTAAGGTAAATCTCCATCATGGCGTCGTTAGTTAAAAACACGCCAAAACATGTAGGATTCTTTATTTAGGTTAATCACATAAATATATGATCGTAAATGACATGCAAAACAATTTACACCCAATACAGATAAACAAGATTAAGGAATATATTATACATAACACAGATGCACCACTTTAAATTATAGCCGTTTACGAATATAGATCGAACACGTCATACTTAAACTCATCAGCAACTATAAAGCTATTGATGATAAATATAAGATATTGAATATAATCTTACCATTCAACGTGTGGTTTAATACTATAAATACATATGGAATATGTTATCTAAATACACACACATGTAAATGTGTCTATTCCATATGTTCTATATTAGTGGAGTGCAGTTGAATATCCGTGCATTTCGCGGCTGGAGTTAAAAACCAATCAAATCATTCAAACAATCTCACGTGACGGACACACCCATGCTTACCGACAAAGAACAAACTATTATGGACAACCTCAACACACAAAAATAAAATACGCTAGCGCAACATTAATATACATAATATTAACCCTGCGACATTAGCAACAAAAATGTGACATCAAGTATTGAAAATTTGACTTCTTAAAGACACATTTCCGCGTACAAACTGCGTGATTTGATGATATATTTGGACTAAAAACATATTCAAACTAATTAATTTATCATAGTTTTGTTTCAAACTCTTCTCAAAATATTGCAACATCCTAGGAATACCCTTACTATAAAAAAAAACGACCAAAAGAGGTCATGTATGTGTCACGTGACTTACCTCTCTCGGTACCTAGCAACGGGGGCGAAGTCGAAGGAGAATTCATTGCATAGACAAGACAATGTTGTCTTCAATCGCTGTCTATTTATTACAAATATCGAAGCCGAATTAAATTCTCGGATTATCCACTGCCCAAGTTTTTTTCCGTGGTTTTTAACTCAGAAACTGTTGTACGTCTAACTCTTCATAAACTTTATCAACATGTACATCAGACGCTCAATCTCTTCGTGCAACCTTTGACGTCACGCGTGCCGACACTCCTAATCGTCGGGCTGTCGATTAGAAAAACCCTTACAGTTTTGTCCTGTATGCGCTCCATGAGTGTTTTTCAGGGCATCGAGTATTTTTCTAGTAAGATTGGATATTTCTACACCAAAATTGACATACTTTTATTGGAAATAACCACCCGATAAATACTTTTCTGGGAACCTATCTTTAAGACACACGTATAAATTATCGCGATAATATCGTTTATCGTGATATTTAATAAATTATTATCATGATATTTTTTTTTCCCCATTGTCGTCCAACCCTATTCCAGATTAAGAGCCATACACAATACAAAGTCACAATGAACGGATGTCATAGCCATCTAAAAACTTCTATTCGTTTCTATTCGGTTCTTTTAAAAGATCGATAACCGATAATTCATGTCTATGGCAAAATGTCACCTAATCATTTTTGCCAATTTACAGCTGCTAAGTAACTGATTATTGACCGTCTGGTGTATTCAGGATTTATTAATTGCTATTAACCAGCCTGCAGTAGACATTCCATACTTATTTGTGTATCAAGACTGTTTAATCCTCGGTTAAAGCTGTTAGAACCAGTAATCGCGGTGGTTCAGTGAGTAAGGCGACATCTTGGATTTCACCATTCCCCCATGATTAAGAGTGGCCACCCAAGTTTTATTTTTACTCTCACTTGCCTCCAACATGATTCAAGAGTCAAATCTGGGGAACATATAAATGCACACAGCACCATCATCAGCTGACAGACTACTTGGTAGGCAGAGGGCATGGTAAGGAACAGTCCTATAGTCGTTCGGATGAGAAGAAAATCCCGTTTACATGTACACGTAAAAGAACCCTTCACCTTTGGAATTTGTTGAACAGTTGGCCAATAATTTATGGCCCTAAAGCACACTGGGCAGGGCGTTAAACCCCATTTAATTTCCAATTTGTGAGAGAGAGAGAGAGAGAGAGAGAGAGAGAGAGAGAGAGAGAAAGGGGGGGTGTTAACGTCCACTCGACACAAACTAGGTCATTTCGGGACTAACATATGGTTTAATTTTATTTCAATAATTCGCTCGCGAGTTGGGGTCTTTAGCAGTGGGAGGAAACCGGAGGACGCGGAGAAAACTAACGAGGTTGGACAGGCGACCCTAATTCTTGTCACGTACAACCGGGGATTCGAAACCAAGCCAGTTGACTCAATGATAGGCCTTATGATACAGCACGCACTTGCTAACCATTCGGCCATCCACCCACCCCCCCTCTAATTTGTTATAGAAACATTTATCCTAGTCAGGTGTAGCTATTCAAAGTGTCGACTGCATCAGTGTCTGGAAAACCATGTCTATATAAAGCCTAGCATCATCCCTTGGCAGGAGAGTCCAAGACAAATTTGTAGGCCGACAACTTCGTGGATTTTTTCGTAATTTAGAAAACATACCGTACACATTGTTTTACATGAATTCGTTCAACATTGGAATCCCTGAGTATACTATAATGATATCCACTTGTCGATTCTAAGCTGTGTTTGTTTCCAATAAAATAGATCAAGTGGCCTATTATTTGTTTAATCTTCTGACCTGAATTATTTGATCACTCCCAAAGATTTTCGGGCATTCATGTTTGATGTGACTCCCATTTTTGTGTCTCAATATATCATTGTTGTTGAAGATTTTGTCTTACTCATTGGTTTAATCTTAAAGTAGCTAAGTCTCTTACTCAATATCATCCAAAATCTTCAACATTGAAAACACAAATTATTTGTCAATTTAAATCAACATTGATGCTGTGATCTTACCGGAAAAAGATGGGCTTCTGATATCCAATGTTTAAGACAAAATAAAAATTTTGCCATTGGTACACGAATCGTGTACCATAATGCGTTTCAGCCCCAGTTCTAGCAAGAGACTCGAGGAACGAGGCTAGACATATTGCACCAAACCAAACGGCGTATGTAGACTGGAATAACCAGGCGCTAAAAATTTGCATTCGATTGAGATTTCGGGCTTATTTCGCGGAACATAACTGATTTGAAATTAGAGTAAAAACGGAAACCATTGAATGTATATCAGTTTATATACATTCATATTACAGTATTATATGAGTTGCGACCCACTTGTGTTAGCGATTTAGCTCCTTTAAACCTCTAACCCTGAATTTATAGGTTTTAATCTTAAATACCTGGCCCTAGCCCTAACCCTAAAATGTAAAAGTGATGGAATGTAAAAGTGATGAAAATAGAAAAGTGAGTCGGACCAAACATGATCGCCATCACACTGTTATTTTGTGTAGCCTATTTATTGATTTCAAACATTTATTTCGAAATGCGTTTTGTCTTACCTACGTGTGGGATTCCTCGAAATTTTCTGCCATGGTTCCTCTTTGTCAATGATATAGGGCGTGTGTGGGGGGGGGGGGGGAGGCCAAGGACAGTGCCTATGTTTCGAATATGTGTGCTAACTTGATCTCGAATCTGGGTGCTGGAATACGGGTGAGAGATTCCGCTCGGTGCCTATGGCAAGAAAAACCGCGGTCCCGGCTTCATGTGGCTTACGTCATGGCGTAGCCAACACGTAAAAGAAACCTTGACATTAAAAATTAAATTGCTGTCTGGGCAAAATTTTACTCATTACACACTGTATGGCGTGTGTCCGTCTTCATAGTTCGGCAGGTGCACAAAGTAAGACCCCGCCCCATGGCATTCATATATTTAATAGCCTACCGGGTACCTTTATGTTGAAATTTTAGTGTCACTAACCTTTGAGGGCGGGATTATCGAGAGACTATATATTATGTAAATTCAAAAATTCAGAAAATAGTTCAAATCATAGAAAAAATTTCTATGGTTCGAATCCTAGAAATTCGTTCAGAACGGTGTCTGAGTCTTAAAATTGTAGTTCGCTATTAAAGGGCACAACCTACCTGTTTCTGGTCAGGCCCAATTGGTCAGGCCGTTGCGGGCGAAACAAATCTTATAAAGACGATGTAAGTCGAATGATGTACAGGGAGAGAACTCCAAATAAAGGGACAACTTCCTGTTATTTTTTTTCGTGTTTATTTTTAATTGATAATCAAAAATCCCAGGTAGGTAGGCTAAATTAGTCAATTGTAAAGTATAATTTTTATAATAAAGACGCGGTGTTAAAGTCTCAATTCATTGATCTTCACTAAAACTTCAGTAGTGAGCCCATAAAACACTCTACCACTGTGCCCAGTACCCCTGGGCCCTGGCTCTGTGAACTGAAACGACCCGCGTCTGCGAGTAGGACGGGACAAATCGAGCCAACAAAATCGTGATTTTATGAAGACGGAAGTGAATTCAACGAGTTGAGAGTGCGAACTACCCTTATATAAAGTAGCTAAGTCTCTAACTCAATATCATCCAAAATCTTCAACATTGAAAACACGATTTATTTGTCAAATTACATCAACATTGATGTTGTGATCTTACCGGGAAAAGATGGGCTTCTGATATCCAATATTTAAGAAAAAATAAACATTTTACCATTGGTACATGAATCGTGTACCATAATGCGTTTCAGCGCCATTTGTAACAATGGACTCAAAGAACGAGGCTAGACATATTCCACAAGTCATGTCAAACGGTGACACCATGTTCTTATGTGCAATAAATACTATATAGTGTACACTAGAATAACCAGACGCTAGAGATTGCCATTCGATTGAGATTTCTGGCGTATTTTGCCAAACCTAACTGAGCAAAAACAGAAACGATTGAATGTAAATCAGTTTATATATTTTGCCTAACATTCATATTACATTATAGTCTGGAGGCTCAGCGAGGGGGTGGGGGTGTGTCCATCAAATGGGCACAAAACCAGACCCAACTTTTCTAGAGTAAAATTTTGCGTAGAAAATGATGCCGAGTGGTAATCAATCGCCGTTGGGGCGTTTTCGAGATATTCAGGGTCAAAGGTCAAATGGGTTCATTTGCACTGAAAGTGAATGCGCGGTCATTCTTGTATCATGAAAATAAGCTGAAAATGATCGAAAGTAATCAATTTCAATAAAAATGTAAACTTGCTAAATTCACCTTTGTTCTTTGTGACCCCAGAGGTCAAAAGGTCACATTTTCCGTTTTAGCACTAGGAAGATTTAAAGTATTTTAAAGTAATAAATGTTGGCGTAAAATATAAAAAACTAAAGCAAAACCTGTTCTAATTAATAATAGGAACATTTAACATTTATCTTTAGGTGGTCTTAGCATCAAACGTTTACTTTGGAACGTCGAAAATGATCTTGCATAACAGAAGCAAAACGCTTCGGAGCCTGTTTCAAAAATACGTAAAAACTGTTACATCAAAATCTCTCCGAATTAGTTTTACAACGATTGCTATACATAATGTACTAGTTGTCTGAAAAAAACAATTAAATAGTTCCATGGCTGGACTCCAGCCTGCAGGCCGCATCACAAAGCCTGCCAAAGTTTTCCCCGCTAACATTTACCGATACGACATATATATCCTGCATTTGTCGGTTTTATCTGCGTCCATGTTACGGCGAAATTCATAAAAACTCATAATAAAAAGTTTGCAAACTTTTAATCTCGTCGTCAGATGCGTGTTTTCCCATCACAGATTAACGTCGGTTTTCCTAGACTGGGATTCTCGGAAATCCACGCGGCCTGCAGGCTGGAGTCCAACACTGAAACTATTCAATTGTTTTTCAGATAACTAGTATCATTATGTATAACAATCGTTGTGAAAATAAATCGGAGGTTTCAAAGTGTGTTGGTTCTGTTATGCAAGATCATTTTCGACGTTCCATAGTAAAAGTTCGGTGCTAAGACCACCTATTATTAATTAGAACAGGTTTCGCTTTAATTTTTAAATTTTACGTTGACATTTTATTGCTTTAAATCTTCCTAGAGCAAAAATGGTAAATTTCACCTTTTGACCTCCAGGGTCACTAAGCCTAAAGGTGAATTTAGCAAGTTTACATTATAGTTTACATTGCGGCTCCTTGTACGCAAATTGGGTCAAAGTATGCAATACCAAGGTTGTGGACACTCTAGAAGTCACAATTTTTATCCGATTTTGACGAAACTTGAAATGTATGTTTATAATCCAAAGATAGTGGTTACTTTTGATATTTGAGCAGATAATTAATGGCCCCTGTTTGTACAAAAAATCTCGTTGTTAGCTTGTGGATCCTCTAGAGGTCACAATTTTTATCCCGTTTTAAAAAACATTTAAATTTAGCACCGTTACACCTGATTGTACGAAAATTAATGTTTTTTAGCTTGTGGATTCTCTACAGGTCACAATTTTTTATCCAATTTTGGAAACCGTTTAAATATATCTAGGGTTGTAACGATTCATCGCCATGTTTTAAAAATCCATGATGCACGATACAATCAATGTCCATATCGCAATTCGTTATCCAAATAATCATTTCACAAAAATAGACCGATATTCCTTTAAATGCGTAACAAAGTCCATGAGCAAAATAACTTTTTTACTTTCAGCGAGTGTTAATGCATTTTCGACACATGAAGTGGCTAATTATAGCTTTTTCGTCAAGAATAAAATATCAGTCTGGTTAAGCAAGTCGTGCAGGAAATTAAATTCGTTCAAATTACACACTTGAATAATATATACGGAAAAAATCATACAACATTTAATATACATATTATATGCCACTAATATGTGATTTGTGATAATATTACTGTATACAATAAGAATGGCGATTTGTAGTTGTACATACATGTACTATGTACATTGATCACCACATATTTTCAATGTATATTAAATATTTCATATTAAAATCTTCCTAACGTTATTTCCTTTGCTGTTCTGTAATGTATGACTGACCTGACAACGAGAATGCTTTTCATTGGCTGAAATTGTTGTGGCAATACGAGCCAGGCAGCTGAATTTTTTTCATGATGAATTCACCAAATTCAAGTCGCACGATCGACAAAAGCAATATTGAGATCGAAATCCCCTATACCAAGTATAAGTGAAGTCACAAGTATGGGAGTTCTTAGGATTTCCCGTTAAGCATGACAGCAATGAAATCCGTTCAGTTGACCGAGAAAACACCACATTAAAGTAAATCATAAAAGTAGGCCTTTTGAAAGACTTTAGATTTATTTCCTATATCGTGATATTAATCGTATTCTATGCTATGAATCGTGATGTGCATCGTAATGTGGCCTGGCGTATTGTTGCAGCCCTAAATATATCACTATTCCACCATAATGATGGTTGAATTCGAATTTCGGGAAAATCGAAACTAAACTGCCCGACAAAATGGCCGCTCTTTGTACGCAAATTGTGTTAAACATATGTAATACAGTGGTTGTGGGCCCTCTATAGGTCACAGTTTTTATCCGATTTTGATGAAACTTAAAATATATGTTTATGTCCCAAATCCCAAAGATATCAGTCCCTTTCGATATTTGCACATTTCAGGCCATAACTTTCTGGATTATTGCCCCTGATTGTACAAAAAATCGTGTTTGTTTTTAGCTTGTTCTCTATCCATCTCTTGTAAAATGTGTCCGTATCTTGCCTGGCAGCCGCTAGTTAACAGATTTATTTCAAATTTGGTGTGTAGCATCAGGGCCCAGTCATAGGACGTACCCTATCAATATTCGACGATCCGTAACATTCTGTTCCAAAGTTACCCCCTTTTTGCGTAAACCTTGGTATCGCTGTAGGGGCTACAGTTTTTAAAGCCCACATTTTCATGTGGACGTATATTGTCGTTGCCTCCGTCCACAATTGTTTGTGAAAACCCACAGGTCACAATTTTTATCCGATTTCAATGAAACTTGAAATATAGGTTCACCCTAAGATCTTGGTTCCTTTCGATATTGGCATGTTTTGGACTGTAACTTCATGGATTATGGCCCCTGATTGTACGTAAAATCACGTTTTTAGCTTGTGAACACTGTAGAGGTCACAATTTTTATCTGATTTAGTTTATACTTGAAATGTATGTTTATAACCCACAGATCTCGGTTCCTTTCGATATTAGCGCATTACGGACCATAACTTCCTGAATTGTACGAAAAATCGCGTTTTTAGCTTGTGGACCCCATAGAGGTCACGATTCAAAAAGACGTGTGAATATATCACTGTTACACCCTAAGAATGGTTGAGTTCGAATTTCGTAAAAATCGGACCGAAACTGCCGGACAAAAGGGCCGCCCATCGTTCGTCAATTGTGGAGGTCACAATTTTCATCTGATTTTTATGAAACTTGAAATGCATGTTTATAACCCACAGATCTCGGTTTTCGATTGTACAAAAAATCACGTTTTTAGCTTGTGGTTCCTATAGAGGTCACAATTATTATCCGATTTAAAAAAACGTTCGAATATATCACCGTTACACCGTAATTTTGTCGAAGGTTGAGTTTCATGAAATTCGGACCAAAATTGCCAGACAAAATGGCCGCCCCTCATACCCAAATAGTGTAAACATCTGGTATATCAAAGTTGTGGACCCTCTAGAGGCCACAGTTTTGATCCGATTTTGATGAAACTTGAAATGCAAGTTTATAACCCAAAGATCTTGGTTCCTTTCAATATTTGCGCATATCGAATCGTAACTTCCTGCTGAATTATGGCCTCTGGTTGTATGAAAAATCGTGTTTTTAAACTTTTTAGCTTGTGGTCCCTCTAGAGGTCACAATTATTATTCGATTTAAAAAAAAGTTTGAATATACATGTATCACCGTTACACCATAATGTTTGTTGACTTCGAATTTCGTGAAAATCGGGCCGAAACTGCTGGACAAAATGGCCACCACTGGTACGCAAATAGTGTAAACATCTGGTAAATCAAGGTTGTGGACCCTCTAGAGGTCACAGTTTTGATCCGATTTTGATGAAAGATGAAATACATGTTTATAACCCAAAGATCTTGGTTCCTTTCGATACTTGCGCGTATCGGATTGTATCATGGCCCTTGAATGTACAAAAAATCGCTTTTTGGCTTGCGGACCCTCTAGAGGTCACAATTATTATTTGATTTAAAAAAACGTTTGAATATGTGACCGTTACACCATAATGTTTGTTGACTTCGAATTTCGTGAAAATCAGGTCAAAACTGCTGGACAAAATGGCCGCCCCTCGTACGCAAATAGTGTAAACATCTGGTAAATCAATGTTGTGGACTGTGGACCCTCTAGAGGTCACAATTTTGATCCGATTTTGATGAAAGTTGAAATACATGTTTATAACCCAAAGATCTTGGCTCCTTTCGATATTCACGCGTATCGGATTGTATCTTCCTGAATTATGGCCCTTGAATGTAGAGGTCACAATTATTATTCGATATAAAAAAACGTTCGAATATATCACCGTTACACCGTAACTTCCTGGATTATGGCTCCTGATTGTTCAAAAAATCGCATTTTTAGCATGAGGATTCTCTAGAGGTCACAATTTTTTTTTCCGGATTTTAAAAACTTTTTAATTATATCACCATTCCACCATAATGAAGGTTGAATTCGAATTTCGGGAAAATGGAAATGAAACTGCCCGACAAATTGGCCGCACTTTGTACACAAATTGTGTAAAAGTATGCTACGAAGGTTGTGGACCCTCTGGAGGTCACTATTTTTATCCGATTTTGTTGAAACTTAAAACATATCTTTATATCCCAAAGATCTCAGTCCCTTTTGATATTTGGGCATTTCAGACCATAACTTTCTGGATTATTGCCCCTGATTGTACAAAAAATCCTGTTTGTTTTTAGCTTGTTCTCTATCCATCTCTTGCAAAATGTGGGCGTATACTGCCTGGCAGCCGCAGGTTAACAGACAATAAGACTAATAGTAAGTGCAGGGGGACTGCACCACACAAAATTTACACAAAAACAAATACACAGACAAGACATCATACTCAGGAAAACACAAACAGACAGACAATTCAAAAAAAGTGAATGGATCCGGGGGCTAGCCGTAAGCTCTATTTCCCAGTTATCCGTCCATCTATTGCAAAATATGGGTGTATCTTGCATGTCAACCGCATGTTTAGTTACAGATGTCAAAGGAAAGGAATATTTACATGTACCTTGTGTAATGGACTAATTCAAATTTAAGATTCTGAAAACAAATTCTTTTATTTCTTATTTCAGGTCTTTATTCGAAATGGCTGAAGGGAATTTTGAAGACTTATCTCAGTATGTTTCTGATCTTTCTGAAAAAGTTCATCAAATTATTCAAGAAGACGATGGTTCTTCAGTTAGACTAAAGGGCTTATTCAAAACAGCTGAAGGGAATTTTGAAGATTTATCTCAGGATGTTTCTGAACTTTCTGAAAAAGTCCATAAAATTATTCAAGAAGACAATGGTCCTTCAGTTAGACTAAAAGGCTTAATGAAAAAGTTGAATAAAGATATACGTAAAAAAGTTGTAAGCTACAGTGACGATCATGTAAGTAACCCACCGTTATTTGTCGCCTGCTGGTTAGGAAAGGTTGGTTTCGTTGAATATCTGATAGACGAGTGTTGTGCTGATATCGAACAGAAGGGGATATATGAAGTAGAAGAGGATCAATCAAAGCATAATGTCACTCCATTATGGTGTGCAGCTGTTTCAGATAGATTGGATGTGGTCAAATCTTTAACAGAAAGAAAAGCTGATGTGAACAGTCCGTCCGATACCAAATCAACTCCAGTTAGATCTGCTTGTTACATGACGAATATAGACTGTATCAAATATTTGGTCGAACACGGAGCTGATATACACCAGCCTAATATTAATGGTGGAACATGTCTTATAAATGCAGTGCAAAGTTCCGAGCTGTGTAAATATTTAATCGAAAAAGGAGCAGATGTGAATGACCATGATAGTTCTGGAAATTTAGCTCTCCATTACGCTGTGCGAGAAGGTCGACTTGAAACCGTTAAACTCCTTGTTGGATATGACACAAAGCTTCTTGCAGTCAATGATTTTGGTGATGACGCTTTACAAACTGCAGCCCTCCGTGGTCATATAGATATAATGCAGTATTTGCTACCATTTTATGTCGATTTTGAAAAAAGGATCCACGCTTTCGAATTATTGGGAGCTAATCTTATAGATGATAAACACGATATTGTAGGTGGCATCAAAATGTGGAAAAAAGCCATGCAATTAAGATTTGCTGACCCAAACAATACCGTTTTTAAGAAGGTTTGTGATAAGCCGAATCCAGCATATGGCAATGTTTTGGAAGCAAAAGATCTTCAAGAACTAGAAACAATAGTTTATGATCCTGAGTCTATTTACATGCAATCTTTGTTAATACGGGAGCGGATTCTAGGTTCCTCACACAAAGATACAACATATGGCTTGATGTATCGTGGAGCCGTCTACGCGGATACACAGAATTATCAGAAATGTGTAGATTTGTGGAAATATGCTCTTCAGTTGAGAGGGGGGAAAGATATTCACAGTCACGAGTGCTTATTAACGCTTCAAGCTTTAGCCAAATTATTCTGGGAAATGGATTCGGAGGTACAGGCTAATCCAAGAATTAATGGCATTCATTTTGATGACGCTGTTCAAGTATTTGCCATTTTGGTTCATTATATTAAAACAACAGAAGAACCTACAACAGGCAGTAGAAGATATCTCCACTTAAACCATGAACAAGAGCCCCTGATATTGATGAAACTTTCATTACAGTTAATCAACCTACTTCAGAAACAAAAACCCACAGGGGATAATTTGTCCAGATTTGTCCAACTGGTTCATGAATTGATCAACATGAACTTAAGGGATTGTCACCAAAAAACACTTCTTCATTTAGCACTACACAAATCCACCTCAACAATCTGTGGGGAGCCATATTCAGAAATGCCCACTTTAGAAACGGTCAAAGTTCTGCTTGCTTGTGGTGCTGACCCTGAAGCTTTAGATGTCGAGAAAAATACTGTTCTTATTGATTGCGTAAATTATTGCCCTATCGAGCTAGACAAAAATGGCAAAGACATTTTAAACTGTTTATTACGGAGTGGATCACATCTAGATTCCTGCAATGAACATGGTGAAAATGCTTTAGATGTATTACACAGAAAGCATTTCCCCATCTTTTCTTTAAATTTTATAAATCTTAAATGTCTAGCATCGCGGGTCATCGTAAAAAAGAAGCTAAATTTTGTGAACCAGGTACCAAACTCTCTAACAAACTTTATATTAAAACATGGATAGGCTTGTGAAAGCTTTGTTTTTATTACGTTGTTTTAGTTTCAGATATTTAACAAATAGTAGTCGACATAATTAAAACATGTTTTTAAGGGCAAAAAAATGGTTTTTATATGCCCACATTTTCATGTGGATGTATTATGCCGTCGCCCCTGTCGGTCCGTTCGTCCACAATTTGTTTGTGGACACTCTACAGGTCACAATTTTTATCCGACTTTGACGAAACTTGAAATATAGGTCTAAATTGTATCTCCCAAATATCTTGGTTCCTTTCAATATTGGCATGTATCAGATCATAACTTCATGGATTTTGGCCCCAGATTGTACAAAAAATCACGTGTTTAGCTTGTGGATACTCTAGAGGTCACAATTGTGGATGAAACTTGATATGCATGGTTATAACCCAAAGATTTTGGTTCCTCTTTATATTCGCGCATATTGTAACGTCCTGAATTATGGCCTTTGATAGTACGAAAAATCATGTTTTTTTAGATTGTGGTCGCTCCAGATGTCACTGTTTTTATCCGATTTATAAAAAAACATTTGAATATATCACCATTACACCCTAATGATGGTTGAGTTCGAATTTCGTGAAAATCCAACCAAACATCGTGGTTTTTTTAGCTTGTGGTCCCTCCAGAGGTCACAATTTTTATCCGATTTATAAAAACATTTGAATATATCACCATTACACCCTAATGATGGTTGAGTTCGAATTTCGTAAAAATCAGAACAAAACTGCCGGACAAAATGGCCGCCCCACGTATGCAAATAGTGTAAAAATATGGTATATGCAGGTTGTGGACCCTCTAGAGGTCACAATTTTTACTTGACTTTAATGAAACTTAAAAACACAACACAGTTTATATGGAAATACAATCACTGGTTTATAAGTATAGCACGACGTTTCGACAAGTATTCTCTTATCGTTATCAAGCACAAATGATATTTAGTTAAACTAAAAGGTGATATTTATAGTAAAACAAAAAAGAAGCCATAGATAAATGCTGTTATAATACAAGATGATGGTTATATTGATCAAAGGATAATTAAAACTTAAATAATAGTTAATAGATGGGGGTTAACAATAATCAGGGAGCAACAAAGACATAAATTTAATATAGACAAAATAAACACAACTGAGGCCCTATTAAGTGTTTAATAATGTATAAATTGATCAAAGGATAATTAAAACTTAAATAATAGTTAATTGATAGGGGTTAACAAAATCAGGGTTTAACAATAATCAGGGATCAACAAAGCCATAAATTTAATATAGACAAAATAAACACAATTTGAAGCCCTATTAATAAGAAATGTATAATAATGGATGTATACAGTATAACCCCTTAATTTGGTAATTACAAAATGTGAGCTATATAACAGATATTATACTTGAAATACATGTTTATAACCCAAAGATCTTGGTTCCTTTTGATATTCACGCGCACATCGGATTGTCACGTCCTGAATTATGACCCTTGATTGTACGAAAAAAATCATGTTTTTTAGCTTGTAGTCCCTCTATAAAAAAACGTTTGAATATATCACCATTACACCCTAATGATGGTTGAGTTCGAATTTCATGAAAATCGGACCAAAACTTCCGGACAAAATGGTCGCCCCTCGTACGTAAATGGTGTAAAAATATGGTATATCAATGTTGTGGACCCTCTAGAGGCCACAATTTGATCTGATTTTGATGAAACTAGAAATGTGTGTTTATAATCCAAAGATCTTGGCTCCTTTCGATACGCATATCAGACTTTAATTTCCTGAATTATGGCCCATTAATTGTACCAAAAATAATCGTGTTTTTAGCTTGTGGATTCTCTAGAGGTCACAATTTTTACCTGACTTTAAAAACTGTGGAACTATATCACCATTCCACCATAATGAAGGTTGAATTCAAAACTAAACTGCCTGACAAAATGGCCGCTCTTGTACGCAAATTGTGTAAAAGTATGTAATACGAAGGTTGTGAACCCTCTAGAGATCACAATTGATGAAACCTAAAATATATCTTTATATCTCAAAGATTCGGTCCCTTTCGATATTTGAGCAGTTCAGACCACACCTTTCTGGATTATGGCCCCTGATTGTACGAAAAAACGCCTTTGTTTTTTGCTTGTTTTCTGTCCATCTCTTGCAAAATGTGGGCGTATCTTGGCTTGCAACTGCTGCAATCTGAAACATTGTTGCGTTATATTTCCATTACATTTCACAAGACTTGGGGGGTTTTTTTGATATGATTCATTGTTTTTGATTTCCTTTTATAGACAATATATCTTTTGTTTTTTGAATGATCATTCAAAGAAAATGTTAAGGGTAAGATTTTATCGGACTAACTAATATTTTTTAGAATGGTAACTTATGGCCTGTAAGTGGAATAAACTAGCTAAAGAGATGACATCTCCAGGCAGGAGATTTTAAAGTCATTTACTTTTCTTTTTGATATTGTTTTTGTTATTGATTGTATTAATTTTAATATCAAATTTGATAACTTTCACTCTGTTATATTCACAAATGTCCATAACAAAACGAGGTTGTCTCCCTTTAACCTGTGAAATAAGGTTACCTGAAAGACCAATCTTACACCTGCCATATCTTGGGCTTTTATTAAATTAAAATTATTATTTAACCTATCAATACAAGCAATACCTGCATTTACTGAACATTTTATATTTGGACACTTTTAAAAGATATGCTATCTTGTATGCCAAAAGGTGAATCGTCGAGTATTAAACTGGCTTTTAAACAAGTCGTCCCGTTCCATTCTGGCTTTGGCTTTGAAAATTAGATGAAAAAGAACAAAACTTCAACTCTGACCACCATAGAGGACAGTTCCTTTAAGACAGCCTCCGATCAGAGACAATTCCTAATGTAACTACCACAGAGGTTGCTCTTCTGCGCGTTGGTTTTGAATCCCCGGTTGTACGTGACAAGGAGTAGGGTGGGTTTTCTCTGGGTCCTCTGGTTTCCTCCCACTGCTAAAGACCCCTACGCGCAAGCGAATTATTAAAATAAATTAAACCATATGTGTCGAGTGGACGTTAAACCCCATTTCTCTCTCTCTTCTGCGCGTCCTCCTTCTCACTTCTATCAGACAGAATCGAATGTTTTAGCCAGAGATTTTTGTTGCCATAATTTCTTCAAAGATACAGCATCGATACATAATAATATTGAATAAATTGGTTATGTTATTTAAATTGTTATGTACATATATTATTAAAGTGTTTTGTGTCCATTTAGTTTTTTGTTTTATAAGTTCTGACCAGCTAGTGTTGGACTAGGGGTCTGGTGTCGCTTCTTCCAAGCAAGATTTGATTTAAACACAGAGCCATACCCTGCCGTCAATAAAAAGCTTGAAGAATATTGATCATTTCTGTCACATTCAGACCCTCTGTTGTGAAGCTATTTGGAGAAAAAAAAAGACGCTTTCTGGGATTTTGGAGATAATTGAGATATGTAATTCTGTCTGTTTGCCCTAATTTAAACGAAATGTATAACATTTTAATAACAGTAAACTTTTAGTAATACACTGAAGATGCTCTCTTGCAGAAGATATAATAAACAAAGAGCCATATTATCGCGGGGGAGGGGAGCTAAAAACCGTAATTTCTGTAACGCAACCGCCTAATCTGCATATTTCAGATTATTTAATAGACTGATTGAATTATAATTGTTTTCACTGGATTCTTAACTCCCATAACCATAGGGCACTGATATTTGAAGTTGTTGAGTAAAGCCTGCTTTTCAGATAAGTCATACTTATTCCAAATGTTTTTTTTAAGATTGGACTAAGTGTGTGTTTTCAAGTCATGGCTGAGGTGTCTAATTTGCATATTCTATATTATGCAATATAACGGTGCTGTTCTCCTAGTGCTTTTCGGCACCATTGACCCTGTAATTATGGGCATAGGTACTAGTGTCAAGAGCTAGGTCAAAGAGTTTAAAATTTAGATGGAAAATAAGTCTTTCACTAATGGCGGCTGTTTATTTGCATATTGGGTCCTGTGTACATATTGGCGTGCACGTAAAAGATCCCTTGGCAGTTGGAATTAGACATAAGAGTGGGCCATAGCACCGCTGCCCGGGCAAAATTTCCCTCGTAGCACACTGTGTGATGTATGTCCGTCTTCATTAGCCCAGTTTAGGAAAAGGATGTTAAACCCCATTTCATTTCATTTCATTTTCTTTATTTGCATATTGTGCATCATGTAATTCAACATACATTATGCAAGAGATAAATCTTCCTTCTGCAGGTTTTTCTTTTGGCCTGAAATGTTTTCTAAATCGTGAATTAGACATTAATTAACTTATCCAGACCATAATCAACTCTCTATGGCATTGGATTTCTCCGATATTAAATAGTTTATAACAGTTCGGCCATATTTTGATAAATGGAGGAGCGAGACTTGGCTTCGAACAAGCAGTAAGGTGGTTGAAATTATTGCACACGTCTTCGCTCGCAATAGAGTGATTTGAATGAAATTTTCAAATTATTCATTTTACATTATCTATTTTCGAACAATTATAGCAAGAATGGCTAGCTCTTTATCTAAATCTTACATAATGTATCTTTAAGTGATTATATTCTAAATGTGTTTATTTGCTTCCCTGGCCACGAAAATATGGGTTTAGATACAATTTCTACCAAATTTGAACATTTGATCATTTGATAGCCAAGTTATAGCATTAAGTCAATTTTTGAAACATGCAATTATGCTAATTAGCATATTACGCAATTTGATCCCTTTCCACAAAAATTTTTGGGAACATTTTTAGTTTGATGAGCAGGAAACCTTACTGAAATGCATACCTCCAAAAGAAATTCTGTTGCAATCAGAAAGGTTGCGGGGCATGTATCTTGTATCTTTTTACTTTTAATATGTAATATGGACATTGAGGGAAGGGGCGGGGTTCTCGTATAAATATTATCCTTGATATTTAACCTACCAGTGGCCTTTACTCTTATTCAAATTGATTCTAGGGACTATTTTTATATCTACTGCTAATGGCCGAACCTCGGTTTTTCCGACTTCGAAATGGCAAGATCTTATAAATTCCAGAATCACCCTACCCCGGCAAACACCTCCAAAATGACTGACATGTAAATTATGTAAGACTGAATATTGCCCACTCTTGACTTAAATCAATACATTTTCATCTGATGTTCAGTAAAAAGAAAGACGTGTTCTATTCTAACATCATACATGTAGCACAGAGGGGCAGGACTATGGTTTTCAGCGGAGGGGGTGACGAAATTTCATATCTCCATATTAAAATTCGCGAGCGCCGAATTTGTGATAATGATGTCTATGGCTATCCTGACTGTTGCAACTTTGCTTTTGTCCACTCCTATTCAAATTCCAATTAGGCTACAAACATATCGTTTATGTTACTTTACCCATTTTTACATGTACCATTTTAATCCGCGTTCTTTTATTGAAGTCCAGATAATTAAATGTTGAATTATGTTTAGTGGAAATCGGCTTGTTTACACCTACTTTATATATTTTCTTTGTTAAACATGACGATGACGTCAACGGGGCCATCTTGGAATTATAACGTATCAAAAATCTGCCAATCTATACACAACTGTCCAAGAAATTACTCAAACTAGCATGCAAAGTTGCGTGTCGATTGTACTGGAATTGGCGGAGCATCGTTACCAATAAGAACATGATGAGTAGTAGTGCTTAGGACCCAGTTCCTAGTCCAAATACGTATTAAATCCAATGATTGGTAGGCTACCAACCTTGGTCGTAAAAACCATAATGTCTGTCATTGAGTGGCGTGGTTTCTATTCCCTACTTGCTTGCAAGGAGTAAGGTCGCCTGTCACTTCTTGGGTTTTCTCCGGATCCTCCCACTGCTAAAGACCCCTACGCAATGAGTGAAATAAAAAAATTGAAGCATATTATGTTGGTCCCAAAATGACAGGGCATAGTTTGTGTTGAGTGGACGTTAACTCGCTCTCTCTCTCTCTCTCTCTCTCTCTCTCTCAAAACATACACACACCAATTTAGAGAAAATAACACCTATGTAGATGAAATAGTTTAAAAATCTATAATAATTTGTACACATTTGTAAAATAAACAGTGACAATTAAAAATATGACACAAACTAAAGTTATATGTACAATTGTAAAAATTGTTAAAAAAAAAATTCAAGATATATATATACATGTATATATATATATATATATATATATATATATATATGAAGTTATTTACAAAGTGCAGCAAGGATACGGCGTGGTGGAGTAAATGGTCTTCGCGCATGTAAAACCTGTCTGTTGTCCACCATAAAAACATCGCCTTTTTCCCATGTGATGTCCACTGCAAGTTTATCCAAAGTTGCGCTTAGATCTTCCATTATCTTCCTGGGCATTTGCGACCCGTCTCCAAATGTAATGGCAGTTTCTGGATCATTCCTGCTATCCTTCCATCCCGTGTAAGCAGCTATTACTGAATTGAACCAAGTTTTCTTACCAGTGCGACCATCGACTCGAATTGCTGGTAGTACGGCGGTAACGGTCTTCATACAGCCATTCGGTAACCACTCGAACGAAGTGCCCTGATTGCGGCATTTCTCCTCGGCTTCTTTCTTATCCGTGGTCCCGAAAGTTGACTTCCAACCTCGGCCTATTGGAGAAGAGGGATCATCCACCTCCGGAAGTACTCTGGTGTATAAAACACCTTTATCTTCCAGTTCTTGAACAAAATCGGGATGCTTCTCCTTCATGGCTCCATAAATTTCGTTGGAAATAACCAATGGCGTCTGTCCACCTTGGCTTGGTTCCTTGTCACAGTAGAAGAATAACACTTTAGGAAAGGTAGGAACCTGTGCCATTTCATGATGGAAGGGAATTGGTTGATCGGGCGGAGACTCGTTAGCGGTGAAAACGTTACCGACCACTACCGACCTGGGCGCCGCACCTCCGACATAGGGCAAAGGCTCCATACCAAATGCCTTAACAAATAGATCGAATTCAGTTGGGTTTGTTATCGGGAAGTTTCTGAATAAAATAGCGCCGTTCTTTAACAGGAGTTGATCGAATATCTGGGAATGCAAAGTTATCCATTCTACCATAGTTTGGTTGTTTTCCAACTGGTTTTTCGATCTTGGGGACAGTATCAACGGAAAGGATGTCCCATTAAAACTCTTCTGTTCGATGCTGGTCACCTCCCTGATAGGAAAATTATCAGGTACAGATGGCATTGATCTAAAATTATAAGAGAGTAGAACGAAAGGACAAAAATTAAGTTCTGTTTAAATTTTGAAAATTAAAACAAACAAAACAATGCAAATTCCGTCAATTAATATTTTAATAATCAACTATTACGGTACATATCTTCAAAGTTACAAAACAGGAAAATGTATTTAAAATTAATCATTGTATATTTACATTTCAAATAATAAAAAACAACTATGTGTACTTTCGATTACATTGTTACATTATTTTATAAAATTCCGAGCTGGATCTTTATTTCAATTTAAATTCCAACATCAATAACTATTAGAATTTTCTAACGGTAGTCTAAATAAAAAATACTAAGATATTTTGTACTTGATAACGATAACAGAATACTTGTCTAAACTTTACGCTTTTTGTATATCAACTAGTGATTGCATTCCATATAATTGTGTTTGTTTTGTTTTATCGTGCCCAATCACTAAATGCCACTCAAGGATTATACGACATTTTTGTATAAAAAAAAATATCTGCCATAAAAGAAGGTAAATTGAATTTTGTTTGATTGTGCTCAATCGCCAAATGTTACTCAAGTATTATTGTCCGACACATTTGTCGTTTTGAAAGATGGCATGATCAAGCTCTGGACTAAAATGCTAGCTTCCTCAGGGCAAATATATGGTCAAAAATAATACAAAATCAGAGACAGTTATGTGACTATAAGGTCATGTTGGTTACTAAGGGGTCACCTGTTTTGGGAAGCCCCTGCTTGTTGGTGATGTCTTCTCTAACCATCTGAAATATATGTGGTCAATATGCACTACATGTTTAGTAATAAAGAAAAAAATGGCTTATCTGAAAGAAGATTCAAAACCAAACCAATATTAAAAATATAAAGTATTCTGAACATGGGTAAGGAAATGTTTGTCACATATGGATAGATTTACTAAATTTAGATGATTTAATTTTTCATTAAAAGTAATCTTAATTGGTTTTTTTTTACTATGCGAGGAAGTAGGTCTACACAGATGACATACCAAAAGGCAAAGAAAATGTTTTAAATTACAAAACTGCATCTACTGCAAAAAATAAACCAGCTTTGGGCAGTTTTTTAAAACTGTACACATCATAAGTGCGGATGTCTTGTTCCATAAAAATTGTGTCTGAACACTAAAAGAGCGCTGACAATGCGTTATAAGATTAGCGGTTTTACGCAGGGGCGTAAATGTGTGAAAAAAATAGTCGGTCTCAAAATAAGTGCAGTCGGTCTCATCATTATGCATCGGTGACTAAATAAATTAATGCAGTAACTTTCGATACTTTTTTTTAAAGTAGACTACATTACATGTAATAAAAGCCAACCTTTTGACACCCACCCACCCCATGTAAGGCATGCATGTATGTCGCCACTGGAATGACCCCCAAACCCCCTCCCCCTCCCCATACATAACAGTAGAGTACCCCCCTCTGTCACCAAGTACCTGCCGTCTGCTGATAGTGACTGGCGGCCAATTTGGTTGATATTCTTTCGAGTTTTGGGAGGTCCATGTAAACTGCTAAACGATGACAAAACGTTGCCATTTTTGACACCCACCGCCTGTGCCGTTATGAATTGCATTGAAACGTTATGGTATGTTGTGGTTAGGACGCTTGTTTCTCATGATGGGGGCTCGGTGTGGAAGAGTGAAATGAGGGTCCGGTGTGGCAAAGTAGAGTAAGTCCCTATGTGGCCGAGTGGGGGGGGGGGGGTGTCCGAGTGGTGGTAGAAACCCGATATGACTGAGTCCCCTTTGTCACCAAGTACCATTCTGTCTGCTGATAGTGACTGACGGCCATTTGGCTGATATCCTTTCGAGTTTTTGGAGGTCCATGTAAACTGTTAAACGATGACAAAACGTTGCAATTTTTGACACCTACCACCCACCGCCCGTTACGTAATTGTTGAATGGTCTACGGTCAGCTATTGTAACTATACAACTAGTTGGAATTGGTACATACACACGTCTTTCTATATGAATTATTTCGTTTAAACGAAATAATTAATTCGTTTAAACTAAATACATGATATTATTTCGTTTAAACGAATTAATTATTTCGTTTAAACGAAATAATTAAAAAAAAGTATCGAAAATTGCGCTTAAGGGGCTCCGTACTCCGTAGATATCAAGTGAGTAAAACAGATTATATATATATACTACTTGTTATATCCGCATCCTATTGTTCTTGTAATAAGTACTAGAAATTAAATGGTATGGGGATTACCGCCCTGCTCGTCTGCACTGACAAGGCTAATGAAGAAGGGCATATACGCCATACATGTAGCGGGCTATGAGGGTTACAGCATGCTCTTATATCGAATTCTAACCGCCACGGTTCTTTTATGTGCACGCCCACGTACACGGAACCTTCATTTTGTACCACCCGAACGACTAGATACCCTCCGGCCTGCACCACACACACAATGGGACACTAAACTGGAAGATCATGGAGAACTTTCTCGATCAACACCGGGATCGAACCCCTGACTTTCTGTTAACGAGTCAGCGACTTGCCCACTAAAAAGCGGGCGTAACAACAAGGGACAACTTATAGTCTTTCGGATTGTACGAAAAACCGAGACCTCATGTACACATATACGTGAAATATCCCTTGGCAGTTGGAATTTCAAACGAATTTCTCCAAGTACTTTAATTCAGCATTTACCATTGAATTCATTTTCACTTTGTTTCCGTGTAGTGGGCGATTCAGAACCACTCGTCCACTGGCCAATTAGAATCCTCTATTATTATTGTTGGGTTTTTTGGGGGGGGGTTTTGGCGCAAAAATGCTTATTATCCCGTATCAGTAATGAGTCCAGTAAAGCCGTGACAATTAAATGTATGGTTTGAATAGGTGTCCCATATTCTTTTTAAAATGTGAATTTCATCTCTGCTTTGCCACATGGAAATATACTTATAGTACTATCAAGATGTTCATAACATGGGGGTTAATATACTTTCTCCACCAACATTGTTAATGAAGTGTGATACAGGCCAATTTCATATGAGCGCCTGGGTTTTAGGTCCCATCCAAACAACTAGACACTTGCCAGGCCCTCCGTCCTGCACCACTGACAACTGGAAACCTCACCGAATAATTCCGAGGAACTCCCAAGCCGAACATCGTGATCTCGAAGACGAGTAGGCGGAAACGACGCTGTTCGGGCAAAATGGCTCGTCATAGAACATTACCCGTCTTCATTAATCCAGTTGTTGCAGAAGAGCAGAATGTTAAACCCAATTTCATTTGTTTTTCTCTAGATATGGGGAACGAAACCATTGGTTCCAGTATGTAACTAAATCAAAAGGAAACTACTCCGACGATCTAATTTTCTTTGTCAGGACCATCGAACCCCCGTGACTAGGGCTCTTCGGAACGTGCTGCCTCTAGCGGCCGGTCCACTATTCCTCCCTTGTGTATACTTATGATTCATGATGGGATATCACAATACGTGCCAGTTTTTTTTTATAGCTGAAATGAAATGAAATGGGGTTTAACGTCCTACTGTTCTGCTCCGAACAATGCTGATGAAGACGGGTTTTTCATAGCTCAAATTAGTCATACTGTTATGCGTTCAGTAATGAAACAAGAACTTCTCAATGAACTGTTTACTCTGGCGTGAGAGCGGGGCCTACCGGACACGATCGATCTTGACAAAATCATCCATCGGTGGTCAAACTTGACTAAGCGCGGGAGGTTGATGGAAATATGTGGACATAGTCATATCTTTGCTAATTTATATATATTAACCACAACAATATATGGAAGATATTGGTTCATGTAAATGATGTATACTTTGTACGTTCTTGCAAAATTCGTAATAAATAACATGAATTCCGATGCGTAGTATTCAATTTTACTCATGTTAAATGTGTTTTCTGACCATCAGATTCCCATAAAACGTTCCTCAAAACTCCAGGAAACTCCAGATTTATAATTCATGGATACATTTCCGAGATAATTGCGTTGATAATAAAATATTTGCCTTTTGGTATAGATCAGGGATAAACAGACGAAAATACAAACAACGGCTAAGCAGTGAAAGGAAAATAGCGTAACCTAAATAAATAAATCCTACCTTTTGTTATTACACTTGTAGTTTTACCGTTATCTGGGGAGAAGTTATCTTACAAAATGAGGGATCGATCAGCCGTCATTATATACATGTAGTATAAGATATGATAACCGTATTATCTTGCACTATTTGATAATGGTAAAGTAGACTAATACGATTGTATATGTCCAAAGTTCAACAAATCACACCTAATATCACCATAAATTCTTAAAGTAAGAATAGCGTTTTTATTTCATAAAATTAATCAAGTCCGATCTTTGTATGTAGTTAGGAACTGCAGAGTTCCGCACTACACGTGAATAAATCCGGGGGACAGTCGTAAGCATCCACTGCGCAGTAAAATCCCGGGTCTGTAATGATGCAGACTTCACTCAAAATGAAAAAAAATATATTTACAAGAAAGACGTAACAGAACTAATGCGCCTGATCTTGTCTGTTGAATGGCTATAGTCTACCGGTCGACGTCATGAGTTAAAACGTTAAACAATTTTAACAAGAGCGGTAATCCGGATAGATTCTCGGAAAACGCTATTAGAATAAATAACAAAATCCACACCCACGCAATTTTCCAATACCCGCCATGTTTGTCCACCGTAAGCTACCGGTGTCGGGTAATAAACAAGAGATGGGGTTCGAATGGGTTCCAAGTAATGGGGTTAATATTGTTAGAATTTCTAAATATTAAATATATCTGTTTAACATGGTTTAAAGCCGACGAATCCGATAAATTATAGTTGTCTGCATAGACTTGAATGTTTGTTTGGCATTTTATATGGGGAGTGAGGCTCAGTGAGTAAAGAGCGTGGTTTCCCCCTTGTCAGTGGTGCAGGACAGAGAACCTGGCAAGCTGCTTAGTTGATCGGGTGTGTCGAAAAAGCGAGACCCTTGTACACGATGACAAAATAAGAGTAGGCCGTAGAGCCGCTTTCCAACATAGTACACTGCATGTGTTATGTCCATCTTCATCATCACAGTTGGTGGAGAAAAGTGAGACCTAAAACCCCATTTCGTTCCAGAATTATAAAGAGCGTGGAGACTGATAAATAATTATCACAAGAAGCCATTATTAGTGTATGAAAAAAGTTTCGAGTGCTTTGTTGTAGAAGAAATGTATTTTTTGATAGTTCCCTTTAATTGGAAAACTGACAAAGCGTAATTCGATTAATGTTTGTTTTATCAATTAATCAGCAAAAATCATAAGCTTGTCACGTGATCAGATAGATTTCTGCATCTAAATAAAATGTCCACAAATCTAGCTGAAACTGGATCGTGTTGGTAAAAAGTAGAAATGATAGTAAACAACAACTATTAATTTAAAGGGAGGGCCCCAGATTTCTCAGGATACCGTAAATCAAAGCGTGGTAAATCATGCTCTCTAATATAATGTGACGATGTAATCTTTAACATAGAATCCAAATATAGGGCCATTTTCCAATTGTATGAAGAGCTTGACCACTTACCATTATACAGTACTGGCCAAATTAATAGTAATTTTTTTCTAAAAACGTTGCAGAATTAAATCACTAAAATTGAAGTATGAATAAAATCATACACCGTGAATATATTGAACTGAATATTCTTACACATAACCATATTGACTGTTTCGTACTTTGTTCATTCGTACCTCACTTCGTACCTCAAATTGATTCGTACCTTTTCCCATGTTGTTAAAATCAGTTGAAAGAAATTGATTATGCCGAACCAGAATTAGAATATGCACGAGATTTGTACCTCGAATTGATTAGTTTGTTTTCCTAAATGTGTTTGAAGGAAATTGAAATAAAGATGAAACATATTAAACGATCTGATCAAATCCAACGGCTGCGCTAAATTTATAAAAATGGCTGCCGACGGGCATTAGCTACGATGATTTGATAACATAAAGCGAATTTTAGGCATTTGTAATTACATAAATATGAAAAATTTAAATCATATACCACGGCCTGTTAAAATATTAAAAAGAACATTTTTTTTACGGAGTGGATATTCGCCATTCGAATGGCGAATATCCACTCCGTAAAAAAAATGTTCTTTTTAATATTTTAACAGGCCGTGGTATATGATTTAAATTTTTCATATTTATGTAATTACAAATGCCTAAAATTCGCTTTTTGTTATCAAATCATCGTAGCTAATGCCCGTCGGCAGCCATTTTTATACATTTAGCGCAGCCGTTGGATTTGATCAAATCGTTTAATATGTTTCATCTTTATTTCAATTTTCTTCAAACACATTTAGGAAAACAAACTAATCAATTCGAGGTACAAATCTCGTGCATATTCTAATTCTGGTTCGGCATAATCAATTTCTTTCAACTGATTTCAACAACACGGGAAAAGGTACGAATCAATTTGAGGTACGAATGAACTAAGTACGAAACAGCCAGGTTACGAAACAGCATGCACCCATCTACTTCACATTGCATGGTAGGTCGACGCAACGCCGTGTATAGATAAAGTTGCGACAACTGTGAAGCCAGGAATTTCATAATTATGACGTCATGCAAACTTATTATCTATTTATATGACCTATTATATTGTTGGATGTCATAGATTTCAGCGAATGTCTATAGGACATAAAACATACATTTTTTAAACGAAAAGTATAGCTGAACATACTATTATTAGTATTATACAACAAGAAGCGCACATTATTGTTATATAGCCTTATTCTATAAGAAAAATCAAAATAAAAGATACACTAGATAAAAGTACTATTAAACATATTTAACTTGCATTCGCTTTTAAAGGAGCTAAATCGCTAATATTTGGGACCTTGAATTTGTCACAAATGGGTCGCACTAACAGCGACATTTGTTTCAGGCATATTTGTTTCATCGGTGACACGTCTGGTGTCATGTGAATGCAACGACAACAGCCTGGTTGATTGATTTGTTGATTGGAGTTCAGATGTCTACATTAAAATCGACCAATTTCAGGTTGCCGTATTCACGGCCAGGCAAGACAGACTTGAAATTTCTAGAAATTTTTCTGGGTGAGACAGGCCCCAACAAATCCCCCGACGGTGCGTTTCACGACTTTGGCGCAAGACGGTGACCTTGAAGAGACGTCGAAAACCATTTAATAGACATAGTAAAAGTCATATCTTACGATATTATCGCTGGTCTTGTCAGAAAATGCTATTTTATATTTGACAGTCATTTTGAAAGAAATGCCCGGCGCCATACATGTGAAAAATACATTTTTTGATTTTTGTCAAATTCGGTTTTCGGCACATTTCGCCTCTATTACCAGTTTGTGTTTGAAAAATTTAAAAAGAAATTATTTATTCCCCCACCATTAAAGCAAACTAATTACGAAATATCGCTCTCAGAAACTTCATGGTTTCTTTTGCAATTTGTTTGGGGTAAGACGTCATATAAATAATATCAATCTGTCTACCACACAAATTTAACAGATACAAATGCATGTTATTCCACAGGTAGACAGACAGGGCCTCCTTTGAAGGGACTCAGTGAAGGGAACGCGGTTGGTTTAGAGTTTGTCTGACCCCTTAGAATATTTGCGTCTCATCTCCAATGAAAACAATCATGTTGCTCTCATGCTGTTCTCAACCAGAATCAAACATATATCGTACCTGAGATTTGTTAGCATGTTCCACACAACCCAACATTTATCGGCACCGGGATTAAGGGTGTATATCTTTGTTTCTAACGCTTATTGGGAATACGCCACGGAAACTACAATCAAAACTTATTTACAAAAACATTCTAAAGAGTGAAAACTGACATATTTCAAGCTTTACTGTATTTAAAGAAATAATTTAAATCAGCCGGCTGAAACCCCGTCTCCGCTATTTGTTCAATCATTCTTTAGGTATAGTGCCAGTTTCCACCGACAATGATATCGCAAACAAGTGTCCAATCTATAAAAGCATACATTCCTACAAAATGTTTCTTTAGTCAAGTGAAATAATAAATTCATAACTATGCGAGGGTGGGGTGAGTAAATTCGTGGTAACAAGTCTGAATAGGCTAATCGGACAATAGAGCAAGTTCACCTTGATGTTGACAAATACGTAAGACGATATGAACATCAACTAAAAAGATATGTAATGTGATTCAGCTGCAAGGTGATATATGCATATATGCAGCATAGATAATTAAAACTTCTATTCAAGTTAAACCAACTGTATCTATTTATTTAAGTCTTACGTCGAGCTGAATACATTTTATGAGTTGAAGGGTTCCGCGCCAAAACAGCCTAAGTCAGACTTAGGTTGTTTTGACATAGTACTATAGCGAAATAGCCCTAGCAGTTCTCCATCTTCTACTGAAAAGCATATCGTTCTACGTCAACTCTTTGCACCTAAATTTTGAGGTTGAAACCTCAACGCCCAGTGCAAAAATAGCCTAAGTCAGACTAAGGTTGTTTTGCCTTGATGTCGCTTGACTTAGGCTACTTTGCTTGGTAGCTCTCGGGAAAAGAAGGTGGTAAAAGTACGAAATAGGGTCAAGGTCACCGTGACGGTCAAGCCTTAAAACCGATTTCTGTGATAATTAGAGTACATTTCGATATTCTGTCTGTTAAGATTTATGAAAAAAGTATTGCAGATTACCAAAATAACCAATATTATTTAAATCAGGGTGTAGTTATTGGCTAGTTCCTCAGTTTCTCCATTGCTGACTTAGGTCGTTTTGCCTGGCAATGAAAGATACAATATTGTCTATGAATGCATTTGCTCACACTACCCTAATCTCTTTTCTAGAATATCCTTCTATATTATTTTGTACTAATTTATTGTTTTCTGGTAAATGGCGAGGATACAGAAGCTGGGATTGTAACAGTTAAACCAACTGTTCACTTTTAGCGGTAGATTTCACTTTTGGCGGTAGTTGGCTGTTGGGAAAGTAGTGCTCCTTAAAAGTGATATAGTCAAGACAAATCGGTGACTAGAGACAATGTGGTATGGGGGTGGGAGGAGATGAAATAGTAAGAGATGGTTGGGTGGAACAGTACAGTAACGTGGTGCAGTAGATAAAACAGAATAGCAGAGATGAATAGCAGAGTAGACCAAGAGTGGACATGGATTATTAAACAGAGCAGTAGTTGGGGGGGGGGGGGTGAAAATGTATAGATGGGTGGTATAGTAGAGGATGGCAGAACAGTAGATGAACCTGGAAAAGTAGAAATGGTTAGAACATTAGAGTTGGTGCAGTAGTGAATGGTGGAATTTCAGAGATGGGTTGTAGATTAGAAGTAGATGAAACACCAGAGATGGGTAATGTAGTAGTGATTGGTTGAACATTAGAGATGGGCTGCGCAGTAGAAAAAGGTGCAACATCGTCGATGTTTTGTACAGTGGAATTTCAGAGATGTGCATGCAAGGGAAGAAAGTGAGCCATCAGAGATGGATTGTACAGTAGATGGTTCACGCAGTGGAAGATGGTTGGAACATTGGAGATGTGCTATGCAGTAGAAGAGGGTGCAACCTCAGAGATTATTTGTACAGTGGAATAAGGTGCAATATTAGAGATGGGTTATGCAGTAGTGGATGATGCAATATTAGTGATGGACTGTGCTGTACAAGTAGGTGGAACATAAGAAATGGGTTATGCAGTAGTGTATTGATCATGAGAGATGGGCTATGCAGTAGTAGAAGGTGGCACATCAGAAATGTGCAGTCGGGATGTGGGATTGAGGAGGGCCAGCGATGGAGACTAGGATTTGACATGCTTTGAGAGTATGTTCACAGATGAAGAACTTATCGCCCCAACAGAACCACAGCTGCATATGCCACACGCAATAGCGCCATACACGTGGGAGGGGTTCATTGTCAAATTTGACATTGATGAAAACTGAATCGTCTTGGTTTATCTATCCATGTTTGCTTTTCTACCGGTTCTCACATACGATTTACTGTTTAGCATATCTTTGCTTTAGTGTGTTACGTTTATTTTGATCGGGAGACGTGTTCGTCGACGTCAACGGACAAAACTTCAAGAATTGGCCGTGGCACTGCAAGAGGAGTGGGTCAGATTGCCCCAAATCATGAGTGAACGGTTGATTAGGAGCATGCCACGACGAATTGCTGAATGTCTGAGGATTGGTGGAGCAATTACTCATTATTAAGACAAAAATCAAAAACGTCCATTTTCACTTTTGACGTTGTATCTCTTTGCGAGTGAAATGGGGCCGTCAGATAAGCCGCCCATATGAACTGTTTACGTTCATGTGTAGGCAATTGGCCTGTTATTAACATACACTGGTTACTTCTAATAAAAACAGCAGTGCATTTCCGCAGTTTTGTATTGTTTCTGAATATCCCCTACTTTTTGTGAAGAGTATATTTTTGATTTTTGAAATATATAAGAACGATCTGGCTTGATGTGCCTTCAAATGGAAGCTTAAATCGATATTGTTTTCCTCAAAAAGCCGCAAACCTTGTGATGATTTGTATTCTTACTCTTTTATCTGTTCTCTTTATTGCATGTGTACGGTTACCCCTCAATTGGAGCTATGTATCGTCTTTTTCTAAATCCTGACCCGACTTAGGCTTTTTTGCCTGGAAGTTTTTATCTGACTTAGGTCATTTTGCTCTGAATTAATTGCCTTCAAAATAGAATTTTGTAATTTTCTCCTTTATAAGCATACAATGTTACTGCACTCATGGTTAATATTAACATATTTTATACATATTAACCATAGAAAAACATTTAGTTTGATAGGTACAGTAGTTTAAAAGATCACGTTTTTTGCTTTTCCTGGAAAGTTGGAACAAGTGACTTAGGTCGTTTTGACAGGAAACCCTTCGTTTATTGTCATCTATTGGTGGTTAACAGTGTGTAACTAAAAACTAAAATTGGATCTTTTTATTGCCAATGATATAATGTACCTTGAATTTTTTTATCACGAAGTCTATCGCATCCAAATATTTAATGTGCGTTTACAATATATTCATTTTTTTGTTATTTCAGGATGGATTTATCGTAAAATTCATCTTCATTTGACGAACTACACCCAAACTACAGTCAGTGTAAACACGGTTTGGAGACTGTATCTGAACTACAGGGTAGATCGAACTACAGTGTACATCATGCTTTAGAGACACTATCTAATATCCAACAGGAAAAATGACGATTAATTTAATATCCGCCAATTTGTGTTGCTGCTATTTTATATTTTCAAAATTTATCTTCAAAATCAGAGACATCGAAAACCATATAAAGGACATAGCAAAAGTCATATCTTACGTATCTTAAGAGATGCCCTTTAGTCTACCAAATTTATGGGTTTTTTGTTAAATTGCCTTATATTACCAAATTCGGCAGCCATTTTAAAAGAAATGCCCGGCACCTCATGGAAAATACATTTCTTTAATTGATGTTTGTCAAATTCGATTTCCGCACATTTCGCGTACATAACCACGATGTAATGGTCGAACATTACGTACATCAGATAAACTACTTTTAAAGCCCAAAACTGTTCAACTGGTCTCTTTTAGTTATCAAGCACATGTTTTATGGGATAATCTACCATTTAGCTTAAGATGTTGTACATCTCTATATTCTTTTAAAAAACAACTTAAATCACATTTATTTAATGGGACTTTTAACTGACTCTGTATACAATTGTTAACATGTCCATAATCTTGTTGTTTATTTATGATTACATTGTCACTTTGTAAAGTGCCCCTGAACATGTTTTATGAAAGGGCGCGAGCTATAAATATGCTGTAATAATAATAATAATAATAATATTACCAAATTTGGCGGCCATTATGAAAGAAACGCCCGGCACCATATAAAAAATACTTCTTTTTTTTTTAATTGGTGTTTGTCAAATTCGATTTTTCGGCACATTTCGCTTGCATAACCACTCTGTGTTTGAGGAATTTAAAAAGAAATCATTTATAATCCAACGAGTAAATAGTAAAACACACTGATTACGAGATATCGCTCTCAGAAAATTCCCCGATTTTGGGTATGATTTTGTTTGATATATTTATCACTGAACCAAACTGCATTGGTTTCTTTTGCATTTTTTTTAGGGTAAAACGTTTTCCCTCAACGCCTAATACTGCAAGAAAAAGACAAATGTTGGTATGTAAACCTGTATGAAGCCATGACGTCATAGCTTTTATGGCGTCATAATTTGGACCCAAAATGGCGCCTGGAAATGAGTTGTCGTAACTTTCCCCACAGTCTACTCGCTCATGTGCTCATCGTTGTATACCAACTATCGTTGAAACCATCAACCTAAATTGCAAATGAAATAAAATGAAATGAAATGGGGTTTAACGTTCTGCTCCGACTGGGATAATGAAGACAGGCATACGTCATATGGTGTACTATGAGGGTAATTTTGCATGGCCTACTCTTATATCGAATTCCAACTGCCAAGGGATCTCAGGGGACCTCAGTTTTTCGTCCCATCCAAACGACTAGATAGCTGTTTTTGCCAGACCCACTTTCCTGAACCAATGACAAGTGGAAACCACGCCTGAATATCCCGATGAACTTTATCGGCCAACACCAGGATTGAACCCGGACCCCCACGCTAGCGAGCCAGCGTCTTACTAACTTAGCCACCGTGGCTCCAATCTAAATTGCAGTGATTCATGGGCACCGTCTGAGAGAGTTCAAAAGTCCGTGACGTTTGATGATTTCTTATATATACCGGGTGACACAAAAAAAGCGTTCATCACCTAAACTTGAATAACGAAGAGGGGTCGTCAGGGACCTCCAGTGGTTCCAGCAGGATGGTGCCACTCCCCACACCTCAAACGAATCATTGGCATGGCTACAGTAGCGTTTCGCTGACCGACTGATCAGCCGCAGGTGTGACCCGGAGTGGTCGCCACATTCACCGGACTTGAACGCCCCAGATTTTTATCTGTGAGGATACCTTAAGGACAGGGTGTATGGCAACAACCCTCAGACTATCCCTGATCTGAAGGCAGCAATCACAGCGGCAATAAAAGCGATCCCAAGGGAAGAATGTGGGAGGGTCATCGAGAACTTTGCCCGCCGGATCCAAATGTGCTTGCAGCTCATTTAGAGCACATTTTTTGAGCGCCAGTTAAACAAAGAGTGTTTGTGGTACAGACTTGAAACTTTGGAGATGTCTGCTACATAGACTTAACCTAATGTAGCTGAATTTTTGTGTTAATCTAAATAAAATTTTGGAAGTTATTCGATTTTTATTGATGAACGTTTTTTTTTGTGTCACCCTGTATTATAGCATATAAGGCGAAGATTTATAAAACTTTTTAACTGGGCGGAATCTTTTATTACGATCATTTAGGAAAACAATCTATAAAATAGAGTATACAAAATATTTATACATATAAACACATATGAAAGAGATATCAGGAAACAATTTGAGAATAATATGGTGGAATACGACTTTTATATAGAATGTTGAACTGGAATGAACGAAAACACAACAAACAAACTGGCTGACATAAAATGACAAATAACACATAAATACCTTAATGTGAAATGAAATGAAATGGAGTTTAACGTCTTATTGTTCTGCTCCGACTGGGCTAATGAAAACAGGGCGTTAAAGTAAGGTAAATCTATTTGGATCCTGCCAAATACTGTCCCATATTGAAGGGGACCGCGTGGCTAAGTGGGTAAGGCGCTGGCTCGCTAGCCTGGAGGTCGGGTGTTCGATCCCTGCATTGGCCGAGAAAGTTCATCCAGATTTTCCGGCGTGGGTCCCCCTTGTCAGTGATGCAGGACGGAGGGCCTGACAAGGACAGCTGTCTAGTCCTTCGGATGAGACGAAAAACCGAGGTCCCGTGTATACATTGGAATGCACGTAAAAGATCCCTTGGCAGTTGGAATTCGATATAAGAGTAGGTGATAGTGCCGCTGTCCGGGCAAAATTTCCCTCATAGCACACTGTATGGCGTATGCCCGTCTTCATTAGCCCAGGTTAGGAGCAGAACAGTAGGACGTTAAACCCCATTTCATTTCATTTCATTTCATTTATGTCCCATATTGATAGTATGACATGCATAGCATTATACCGAAATATACTGTGTGCTATGTGGGGCATTTTGCCCGGACAGCGGCCAACACCGCAAGTGAACTCAAGACCTCCAGGTTAGCGGGCCTGCGTCTTATTCTATAGATATGGGCTGTTATAGAACTAAAGCTAAAATGACATTATGAATTCGAGTAACATAAGAAGAATCTAAAACATTGTCTTGCGAAAGAATATATGTTAGTCCTGAAATGATATAGCTATACAGAACACATTGTAAAAGACATTAAGACAGAACTAACTTGTAAATCGATGAAAAAATTATACATCACAAATACCTGAACAATCAGATATTAAAAACCGTTCGCACTAATTTCATGCTTTACATTTAACAAATAAATGATAAAAAAATAACCATTATAGATCATTTCTTCCATTTAACACGATTGTGTTTAAGGCTTAAAATAAATAATTATCATTGTCACCAATGAATGTAATTAATAAACAACGTTGCTTTAAACACTTCTCCATGCTGATACCCCTTCTATCGTTTGGTTTGAATTCTTTTGCACTTCTGTCAATACGTCTTTCACGGTGAATGTTTCTTTATTTCTAAATTGTCTTTTCAAAAACATGTTCTGAACTATTTCTTTTTGACGGCTAAAGTCTTTTAAAATGTTTTCGACTGATATTATGCCACATAACTGGGTATTTTGAATACGGTGCCAAAAACTGTAAGCTAGAGCTGGATATGTACCCTGGGTCATAATTTTTCTTTCCAGCACAAAATCACACAAATTTAGGTCCTTCGTGGGGTGTTTATCGTAAAATTCTTCCGGGATATCTACGTGACGGGCGTCGAAAACCTTGGCCAAAACTCCCGTAATATGTGAGTCCTCTATGTTCATATAGGGAAAATATTGTGACACATTTAATATTTTTATTGCTAGGTCACTTGGCATTATATACATGTTGCCTTTTACATGGGGTGGATACCAGTCTAAAGGATAGGCACTCATACGTACAGCAGTCTTGGATGCTTTACTTCCTTTATTCCCGCGCACGACTCTTTCCGCAAAAGCGAAAGGTCCATAAATGGTATTAGACCATTCGAGAGAAACCAACAAATTCAATATACGTGGAACATCTATAAAAGTATCTTCATCTATTTTCATAACAAACTGTGTTTCAGGGCAAAATGTTTTCACCCATTTGAAACCCATCAGTACCTTAAGCGTGAGGTTGTAGTACGATTCTTGGAAATCAGCTTGTACAATATCTTTGGTGACCTTTGCCTCATCCCGCACTCGCGAATTCAGCGTTGAATTCGTGGATTTCCCTAATAAAAATATCATTCGGACCTCGCCGTGAAGCCTTCTGCCTGGCCAGGGCTTGTTTTTGGCAACGCTACCCCATGTTTCTCTTATAGCTGTTCTTTCCAGCAAATGTTCATGTTGCGTTAACACCATAATCACAACTGTGGGTTTGCTGCCCAAATGACATGCGTCAGGACTATTGAGAGAAAAATTAAAATCCAGCGGAGTCAAGAGTCGCTCGCTCGGTCTAAAGACATCGGGATTATTTAAGAGTTCTTTATGACCGTAAAATGTTAACAATTGGTTCTTAGTTGCGTCATGGGTAACTGGTACGTCGTTACCGCATCTAAAATCTAAAGCCGTTATTGGTGTGACCGATGGAGATACCGTTGGGATGATATATCCGATCACACAAAATATATACACAAACAAAACACTTACAAAACATCCATATATCAGTCTCTTTAATTTATACGTACTTGGTGCAGATATCTGTAAACGAAAAACAAATTAAATTAAACTTCATATAATAACAAGCTTAATAACCAAAGAGACCGACAAATTTTAATAAGGATGTTATAAATCATTTGTAACTTTTGCATTGACATTTATGTGTCATATATGCCAGTTGCTATTTGAATTATCATGGGCGTACGGGCTCGATGAATGTTAGGGCGGGCGGGGCGGGCGGGGGCATGACTTGCAATGCCCAAAAAGAGGCGAAAGAGCGGAGCTTAATGTGTTGTTATTTGGGATTTTGGATTCAGGTAAGTCACCTAAGGTAGGCTATATTGGACCACATTGAAGTTACTGGAATAGCAAGGGGCCTCGCACTCCCCAAGAAAATTTTAAATATTTAACCGCCACAAATGCGTTTTTCTGCTATCCTAGCCCGTGAATTAAGCAACTTTAAAGTTTCCAATCGGTTTGCAACCGAAATCCCACTCTATGTCGACCTGAATTCCAACCATCTAACCACAATGTTGCAGCTGCGTTCACAAATAAAAATCGATGCCCGACCATAGTCAATTCAGTACAGATTCGTGGTATATTTAATGAAAAGAAAAGTAAAATTAGTGTTTTATCAGATTTGGAGCACTTTATTTTGCCAACTTACGAAGGCCCATTAGTGCCAAACAAAAAAAAAATATTAATCCGCTTGAACGAGTTAGTATCTCGTTTGAACGAATTCCATCTCGTTTGAACGAATTAATTATCTCGTTTGAACGAATTAGTATCTCGTTTGAACGAATTAATTATCTCGTTTAAACCAGTTAGTATCCCGTTTGAACGAATTGGTATCTCGCTTGAACGAATTAATTATCTTGTTTGAACGAATTAGTATCTCGTTTGAACGAATTAGTATCTCGTTTGAACGAATTAATTATCTCGTTTAAACCAGTTAATATCTCGTTTAAACGAGTTAGTATCTCGTTTGAACGAATTAATTATCTCGTTTGAACGAATTAATTATCTCGTTTACGAATTAAATATTTCGTTTAAACCAGTTAGTATCTCGTTTAAACATTTATGAGATGGAGAATTAGTATAGAATATGTTGGAAGTTATCCACGATTTAAAAGCCGAATATGTTTAATGTTAGCCTGAATTAGCCACAACATCGTAGTGAAGTCATTGTTTTATGACATGTATGCTTAAACAGGCATTATGCAAGAGCTAAATCTGCCTATTGCAGGTCTTTCTTTAGGCCTTAAATGTTATATAAACTATTAATTAGACATTTATTAACATATTTAAGTAGATTAAAACGGTTCGGCTATTTAATGTTTTAATTTAAAAATGATATCGTCGCCCAGAATAAAGTAATTTAATGAAAATTTCAATATATTCATTTTGCATTATCTTTTTTTGAACTATTTTTGCAAGAACGAGCAGCTCTTTATCTAAATCTTACATAACGTATCTTTAATAATGCAAAGACGTAGATTCGAAACGCACCCAATTAAGAAATAATTATGCCTTAGCTGAATTTTCGCTAGCTCAGTGAACAGAACTACAGGTATACGGGGTTTACATATTAATTGTAATTTGCAATAAAGGATTATTATTATTATTATTATTATTATATTCTTTATTTCCTCCAGTTATGAAGAGTACAAACAATACAGCATATACGATATAAGATACACACAATGCAGAGAATAAATACAGAAATATACATATACAATATACAAACTAATTTGAAGTAAGGACTTAAAGATCACAGTGACGTAAAGCAAAATATACAAACATTATGGCAGCTCTCTGATAGTCATAAATAGTTGTACTACTGATAGTGATATCACGTGATTGATCTACTTTTAGACTTAACAGGTCCCTGAAAAGGTTACTAGGATCTGCACCAAACTTTATTATGAAACTAATTCTCGTTTCATTGAATAAATCGCATTCTAAGACTAAGTGATCCAGTCTAGAGCAGAAGAATCTACCACACTTTTCACTTAATTCTGTAACAAAAATGGCATCATCACTTACCCGGATTGAGGTACACGCTCTCACAAATATTCTGCAGGTAACTTTTAATGAAGGATCACGCATCCACACTGAAAATACGGGATGTGGCGACAACTCTTTCTGTATTTGGGAAAACAGACGAAAGTCATTGTGTAACGTCATCCGTAACTTCCAATCGTTACACTCTTTTGTCGTAACGGATCGAAGAGGATTTGGGTGAGTTTCTGAGATAGAGGGGGTAGAAGAAACAACTAATTTGCGACGTCTACTTTAATGGCGCGAGTCTTGTTAGAAAACTCTGTAGTCCTCCGATGACACGAAAATCTGTGGATGACAGTAGCAGTATGCAAAACGAGACTATAGCGTAGTAATTGTGCCGAACATTGCCCACGTTGCACGTCTCATCCCTCCCACTAGGGTCCTGTGTGGCAACGCGACTCTGCTGTTGGTCAACTTGCTAGAGAGAACAGGGGACGTGAAACCGAGAGCCGCAGAGGGGAACGATGGGTCAAAGTGAACCAAGAGGGAAAAGCCTCTGTGTCGGCTTTCACCGGTAATCAAGCGTAGGGTGGTCAAACAGCCGTTCCTCGCTTGAGCCAGCGTTCCCCTCTGCAACCCTCGGCTTCAAGTCCTCTGTCCTATCGAGGAAGTCGGCCAGGTTCCCTAGTGGGAGGGATGCGACGTGCAATGCGATAAATTTTGCGGCACTACTACCCCTGCTTCGTTTTGCATGCTGCATGCGCAAATTAGTTATTTCTTTTAACACTCCCACCCCAACCCTCTATCTTAGAAACTCATCCAAATCCTCTTCCAAGGCAATCAACACTGGAAATAAGTTCATCTGGCAACAATAATATTAATCCTTAATATGTAAACATCGCTGACAAGCAATCGTATACCCGTAGTTCTGTTCACCTACCATTTTATTTCTTAATTGGGTGCATTTCAAATCCACGTCCTTAATAGTTCATACATATCTGTCGTAATGCGCGGCGGGACAATTTACCCAATACTAAACAATACCACCCGAATACCACTCCAATATCACCACATACTGCCCAATACTACAACATAATGGTGCCAAACTAGAATATTACTTGATTTTTTTTCAAAAATAGTGCGATATATCGTGGGAAATGTACTTCAAATGTGATTACCGATTTCTGGCTGTTCCATTTGCCTCCCTATATCACCCAAATCAAGCAAATAATAACCCAATACTACCAAATACTTATCAAATACTACTTAATACTACCCAACATTATAAAATACAAACCTAATATCGTCAATTAGCAGCACATCAGTATAATAATTGCAACATATATTCGATAATTTACAGAAAATTAAAATATTTACGCAGTTATCACCCTTTACAACCCACAAATAGATTTTAGATTGCTACTCAGATTAATCATCTTGCTGGGCTTTGCAGTTTGTTTCCAAGACAAAAGGGAGTTTTAAAAGAAGTTAACAAAGATTTAAAAATGCATTAAAATAAAATCATTTTGTAAAATAAACAGCCAAGCATCCAAATAAAAGAGTATTTTAGAGGTTGATTTAAAAATGTTTCTTTCCTAGAGTTTTACGTCCACTTCCACCTAAGGTGATATCGTAGACAAGTCCCGTGGCCTAATCAAAAGTCTTATACTATAAATTATTTCTTCATCCTGGTGATTTTAGTATGATAAAACGCTGTCTACAAGTGCACGCGAACCTGTAAAAATCATTTGGGTATATGTCAAGAAAGCATACGAATTTATCTTTATATCTGTCTTTTAATGACTTATTAACGCGTCTTCTCTGTCTTTTAAATGATTCTGGTTTCAAACCAGTTGCCTTTAAAAAAAACATCTTGTCAAAATTTCACCGATTCTTCGAATATCGTCACTATATTGAACAAATTCTAAGTATTCTACGGTATATATCCTAGGTGACGATGTCGCGGCGATGTCATTACCACCTAAATGAATAGACACGGTCATCAGTTTCCTACCACATATGCATATGTTTATATTTATTATTTCATGTCAACGATTAAATTATTGCATATATACTTAATGGACGGTGTTTAAGTTTAAAATTAACGAAATTGTACATGTTTATTACAATGCACATGTTTATTACAAATGTGTAATGCTCTACTCGTATATACATTCCACCTGACTTTACAATTAATCAATGGGGTTAAGATTGTTGATTGGGTAATCGAGTTCTGGTTTATTTATATTATCAAAGAAACCGACAGAGCTGTAACAGTCCGCAAATGATAGTTTTGATTAAATGAGAAGTGTCGCGTCGAGTATTACACACTGGAAAGAAACATGTGCAATTTCGTTAATTTTAAAATAAAACATCGTGCAGTAAGTAAATACGCAATAACTTAAAGATGGGTTCCCAGAAAAGTATTTATCGGGTGGTTATTTCCAATAAAAGTATGGTAATTTTGGTATATATGGAAAGTAGAGATATCCAATCTTACTAGAAAAATACTGGATTCCCCGAAAAACACTCATGAAGCGTATACAAGACCAAAATGTAAGTGTTCCCCTAACGAACAGCCCGACGATTAGGAATTTCTGCACGCGTGATGTCAAAGGTCACACGCGAACATTGAGCGCTTGATGTACAAGTTCATAAACTTTATGAAGAGTTAGACGTACAATACTTTCTGCGATAAAAATGACGGGAAAAGACGCGGGTAGTGGATAATCCGAGAATTTAATTAGGATTCGATATTTGTAATAAATAGTAAGCGATTAAAGACAACATCGTCTTATGTATGCAATGAATTCTCCTCTGACTTCCAAGAGAGGTGGGTCACGTGACGTAAACATGACCTGGTTTGATCGAATTTTTATAGCAGGACATTCCTTCGCAATTACAATGTTTGAGAAGGATTTGAAGCAAAGTTATGACAAATTAATTAGTTTGAATATGTTTTTAGTCCATATATACCATTAAATCACCCAGTTTGTACGCGGGAACCCATCTTTAATAGTTGACATGAAAAATGAATATAAACATTATGCAATTGTTTTGTTAAAGCATTAATTTTAGATAAATACAAACAATCGACACTAACTAGGTAATTTCGGGACTAACATATAGTTCAATATTATTTCATTAACTCGCTTGAGCGAAGGGGTGTTTAACAGTGAGATGAAACCGGGGGACCCGAGAAAACCCACCTTGTTTGACAGACGACCTTATCAAGTGGTAAGAGACAGATGGGTCAGTTTGGGAATAAAATATATTATATCGTCATACTTGTTTTTTTGTATTTTAAGTTTGTCGTTTTGGAAACCAACTGCAAAGCCGGTTGTAAAGGGGGATAACTGGCTAAACATTTCAATTTTCTGCAAAATCTCGAATATTCGTCGCAGTAAGTATGCTAATGTGCTGTTATTTGACAATATTAGGTTGTTATTTGATCATACTGGGTACTATTTGAGGAGTATTTGGTAATACTGGGTTATTATAGGCTTGTTTGGGGTGGTATAGGGAGGCAAATTTAACAGCCAGATATCGATATCGCATTTAAAGTACACTTCAAGCGATGTAACTCTATATTTTTTAAAAAATTCAAATGATATGTCTATTTTGCACCATTATGTTGTAGTACTGAGTAGTATGTGGTGATATTAAGGTGGTATTGGGTGGTATTGGATAGTATTGGGTAAATCGTCCCACCCGTCGTAATGCCTTTTTAAGCATAAACAATGACTTCACTACAATGTTGTGGCTAACCCAGGCTAATATTAAACAAATTAGATAATTTCCACGGTATTCTATACTAATTCCCCTTTTCACAAGTATAATTCCTTCTACTGGCGGTAACGCAAAAAATAGTAAAGAACCTACGCGTATTAAATAATATTATCTTTACTTGAAACACAATTTCTGCATGTCCCTTCCATGCTTCTGTACAATCGAAATATACTAACTCGTTCAAACGAGATACTAACTCGTTCAAACGAATTATTAATTCGTTCAAACGAGATAATTAATTCGTTCAAACGAGATAATTAATTCGTTCAAATGAGATAATTAATTCGTTCAAACGAGATACTAATTCGTTCAAACGAGATAATTCATTCGTTCAAACGAGATACTTATTCGTTCAAACGGATTAATATTTATTTTTTGTTTGGCACGAATGGGCCTTCATACCAACTAGATGAAATAATGCTGCACGAAAGGTCAGATTGCCCAAAAGTTAGCACCCCACCCGCCTCACTGCCTGGTATGCATATGTAATTATGTGTAATAAAACATGTTATCATCTGAGAGGTTGGTGAATAGAGCTTTAAAATGCATTATTCGATTTCTTACCTTAAAACCACGGCCAATGGCAGTGTTCTTTAATTCTGAACACATTTGCTGGACAGATTCCATGTACACTCGCACGTTCGTCATGTAATTGAAGGTAGGTGTCCTGTAAAAAACCAAAATAATTATTTTCTCACGGGCTCTGGATCATTATCGGCGAATAGTATCGGAGAATACAGTGGCGGACACAGCGTATACGATTAGACACACGTGTGGGGGGGGGGGCATTTAGGGGTCCTGCTCACTGGTGATTTTAATGGACACGAATCCTAACATCCAATTTCACCCACTTCATCCCAGCAAAGAGTTCAAATTTATATGTTTGAAAGGAACAATAATAAGTTATTTTTTTGTGATGTGCAGAAACAAATTTGCTAGTGAGATTTTTAACCTCCTTGCCAACCTCAATTACTTCATGTAGCAATTTTGTTATAACGCATAAACACATTACGTCTTTCACATAATTCAATATTTTTAAAACATGTCAATAAGCATGAACGTTTGTTATCATGTTCATCAATTTTCAATTATCTGATTATGTCAATTTTGACATTTCATGAATTATTTTTAAACTATACCATTTGAGATTGAAATGTTTTGAACATGGACAGAGACGTACTCTCTACATTTATACTTCCAGCACAAATCAATAATAACCACTTTTATAGTTTTATTATAGACACCATGTCCTAAAAGATGCATAATGTAAGATGTAGATAAAGAGCTGGCCACCCTTTTATAATAGTTTAAAAATAGATAATGAAAAATGAATATACATGTATTAAAAATTTCATTCAAATTACTTTATTATGAGCGACGTTATGGGTGTTGGAAGATGTAGCGCATATTGTTTATTATCGTAGCAACGGTACTGGACATTCGAGGCCCAGTCTAGCTTCTCCAAGTTTTAATTAAATCATTAAATGGCGATCGAATTTTAATCCGTTTCAATCTTTGTCATCCGATGGCATATAAATCTGATTGTAGACTTGTTATGTTAATAAATGCCTAAATAATAGTTTATAGAACATTTGAAGCCAAAAAAAAGACATGCAATAGGCAGATATAGTTCTTACATAATGCATCTTTAATACGTCTGTGTGTCTTGTACTGTGTAGTTAATTAAAGCTTTATCGTATAATAACGCCGTATACATTTAGTAGTTTAGTTCATTAACTAGCACAGGAAAAGTTAATTGTATTATTCATATTCACATGTTAGCGATGGCTCATACATTCCAGAATAGAAACGAAAAAAAAAAGTTTAACGTCCTAATTTTCTGCGCCAAACCGGGTGATGAAGACGGGCGTACGCCTAGCAGCGTTACGAACTTCGCTTTATGTGCACGCCAATGGGTACACGGGACCTTGGTTTTTCCTCTCATCCGAACGACCAGATATTGTTCCTTGCCAGCCCCACAGTCCTGAACCACTGACAAGGGGAAACCACGCTAGCGAGCCAGCCCCTTATTCACTACGCCAGTATATCTATACTTATATACGGGGATTAGAACTAAAGACTTTCAGATATTTTATCATTAAATATAAGCGAAACAATTTATCAAACACTATACATATATTACACAGAAAACAAGACAATAATTGAAATAATAAATGTACGTGTAAATTACGAAATAAACCAAAGGTCTAAAAAAAGACTCGACATACCGAACTTCACAGCAGTTCTTGGCTTCCCTTTTCGATGAAATGTAATTTTATGATACCAATCACAGCAACGAGTATATTCAAGTTGTTACTGAGAGCCAAAACACAATAAGTTCATATTATTGTACGATAAGGTAACGGTATGGTTTCTTATATAAATTATAATATACTTGCTGTATTGTTTATATGAGTATCGATTTGTTGAACGCCTAATTGCTTTATATATATAATCATTCGATCCAATGCTATACGTATTGATTTATATATCCAGCGACGATTATTTACCTGATTAGCTGATTGATTAATCAGCAGAGGAGAGACTATACGTATACAGACATGAAACATATATGTTACCTTAAATAGGGAGAGAGCAATGGGATGTAACGTACACTCAACACAACGTAGGTCATATCGGGACTAAATAAGTTATATAGGCAGTTTAGCTCTTGCACAATGTCTGTTATAAACACGAACTAAATAGACGTGACTAAGAGGGCTGTATGTCAACTCTTAATTCTTGTGTGCTATTTATTATATTTATAGCTATATTAACTGACCTTATAGTTAACTGACGTAATATAATGTAATACATCAACACTGAGACTACTAAGAGAATTGTTTTCAAAACGAAAGCTATTTGTCTACAAATATTACGCACTGTGGAGTTACTACTTTTCTTCTATCAAAATATTATATAATTCATCAACAGGTGAGCCAACTAAGAAAAGTTTACACAGAATAATCCAGTAGCCCATTATGAAATATAACACATTTATTTACCAAAATAATTCGCATGACTGAGTTATTTACACAACATATGAAAATAAAATGCACATATCAAATTTCAAATATGTTTAATTGTCTATACTCTTTTGGCTGAACACGAAAGTCTACAATTATTTTACAGGGTCGCCAATATAATTATATAAAATGATATAAAAGGTCAGAATCTGCAATATCTTGTATAATATAAAAGCGTAAAGTGTATAGTTGCATGCATCAGTTTTGCACTCCTGCCCCTTTCGAAAAACCTTGTCTCCGCCCCTACGTTAACACGTCGAAAACATAGCAAAGTTTTATGATTGTGGGTAGTGTAGCAGTTACCTATAACATTTTATTGGTTCAAATGGCTTCACAACAAATCTTTATCATAAGTGTACATTCTAAAGGTGTATGCCCATATCACCGTATAGTTGTAAAAGTACAATATTCGCAAAGGGCGTGGGGTGAAATCAATCGGTGTCTGCGTTATTATTGATTAACTACTGTGAAATGACATTTGGATTTTAATTATAGTTTTTGGTAAATTATAGACAATGAAGATGTGAAGCATGTTATTGTTTTTTTGCGATGTTCACAAAACATATTGTCTCAGTTTTTATACATCTAACGTCATCACATTCTGTCGCAGTTGCTTACAAAACACACTGTCTCAGTTTCTCAAAAGCATACTGTCTCAGTTTTTTCACAAAACGTACTGTCTCAGTTTCTCACAAAACATACTGCCTTAGTTTATATGCACCTAACGTCATCACAAAACAAACTGCCTCAGTTTCTAGGTATCTTGGTTTTTATGAAAAGGAAATCATTGAAAGTGACATATATGATTAACTTTTATAATATACATGTACACCATTAACTAGCAAATACTACACTGCTACATGTGGCTTTCCTTAGACTACTTACTATTTGTGTACGACGTATGCGCCTAACAAGAATCATATCTAAGTTTAAATAAAATACAAATCATATATAAACTGAATTTGAACCAGATTTTCTGTTGCATCAGAAATAGAGTATGTCTATGCAATACAAAATACTTTATACCGTTTAAAATATCATGTTGACTTACCTCAATCTGAAATCACTATGTTGATCCTGATAATAAATATTCACTTAAATCCAAATTCGTCACTTATGACACATGACACGTGAGTGAAATGAGTGGGCGTCGAACTTATCGCCTTCTATATTAGAATAATTGTACTTCAGTACGAATGTGCCTTTCTATGGTAAAAATCTGCCTTGGGTGAAACTATTCGAAATTAATTCGAGATTAATTTTTCCAGCAAATATGGTTTGTAGGACTTTATCATTATCAAAACATGTTTCGTTCCGTTTAACTTGTATTTGGTGAGATTAGACTAGGATTAAGTAATTTCTCATTGTCATTGAGAAAACACCTGTCGATCTTAAGTTAAACCCCTTTTGGGTTTTGTTGCTTCACATTTGGTAATCAGTAAGCTTACGCCTATATTGTTGTGTAGATTAACTCCAACGTTGGCTATAGCCAAAATTATAATGCGATTATATTAATTAACTGATATGTCCATCTGTGTAGTAATTAACTCCATTAATAATTGTTTTCTAACAATCACCTGACCCACCACAAAGCTCCCACAACGATTCTACTCCTCTTATTAGGACAAGTAAAGATAAGAAACTATTTTTATGATGGGATGTCTAAATTCATCAACTAGAACTAAGTAAATTAGTATAATAAATACAAGCATAAGTTATTTATTTAAGGATTATAAAGCCTTTAACTATTTTATCAATTTGAAACGACCAAGGTAGTTTGATTTCACCTTGTCATTGAAATGGTGGAGGTGAGTAGTTTGACACAACTTGTTCTTGTTTAGTACGTTATGGACAATTTTTAAAAAAAATACAATGTGTCATTTCCAAATGACTATGAAATCCAAGTAGCTCCCAAGTATTTCCTTTCGTTTCAGAGATTGAGAGAGGGGTGACATCCACTTGACACAAATAATTGAAATTGGGTTTAGCTTCCAATTCTTCTGTTCCGAATGGGTAACTGAAGACGGGCATACGCTATACAATGTGATATGATGGACATTTTCCCGGACATAGGCGTACGGGGCTACTGCCTACTATCAACTCCAAGCTCCCAAGGGTTCTTTTACGTACACGCCAATATGTACAAGAAACCTTGGGTTTTCATTGCTTCCGAGCGACTATAAGTGACGCGTAAGTCTCACGCACGAGTTTACTCAAATTCCCCCCGTAGACTTCCAGTCACTTCTCGATCAGCTTCCACGGGGCGAATCTGTGCTTTGCAGGGATTTCAACTCAAAGGGGGCCCTGTAGGGGTCGCCGAGGAATGACTGCAGGGGAACTAGTCTATGCTCAATAATAGAAGGGAACGACCTATGTGTACTGAATGATGAGAGTCCCACATTTGTTGGAGGAAATGCCCCACCCCCACACCTGGAACTCACATTCTGCACGCCTGGTATTGCAAACCGCTGCGATTGACAAGTACACGAAGATGAAACACTAGGCAGTGATCATCTGATGATAGAATTCACCCCCAAGCTGAAGCCATCAGGAAAGTCTATAACGGGAGACCCAATTGGAAAATGAACGAAGCTGATTGGGCAAACTAACGTGCAGGCTGCCTTGATTGGAAGGAAGAAGACATTATCGACACCAACATCGACGTGTACTCCGCCAACATCACAAGTGCAATTATAGGTGCAGCAGACGACTCCATTCCAAAGACTTCTGGCAGAAAACCAAGGAATACCAAACCTTGGTGGTCGCCAGAATGTCAGAAGGCAGTTTACGAAAGAAAGAAGGCACTTCGCCTACGAAAACGCCACTACAATAAAGTCAACCACCAAAATTACCTGAAGTTGAAATACGCTGCAAGAGACACCATCCAGAAGGAACAAAGTGAGCATTGGATGACATTCTGTAATGCGTTGAACCAAAACACACAAACAGGTGTCGTCTGGAAAAAACTGAACGCCATGAACGGGAAACGCAGATCATTCAACATAGCAAACCTTGAAGATGGAGATCAGTACGTTATCGACGACGGCAATGAAAAGGCAGATCTACTTGCTAAAACATTTGCAGATGCAAGCAGGGATGAAAACCAATCACCAGAATTCTTGAAGAGGAAGGAAATCTTTTACTCGCCGCACCCTTCATTAGTAACTGAATCTAATGAAGACGCTGAACCAATCAATCTACCCTTCTCTGAGGAAGAGTTAAATAAGGCTCTTTCACTAAAGAAGGATAGTGCGGCTGGTGAGGACAAAGTAAAGTACTCAATGCTCAAACATCTGCCTAGAAACGCCAAAACGATACTACTAAAATTCTTCAACACATCCTGGTTAACAGAAGAGGTCCTAAAGAATGGCGGAAAGCCAACGCCATCCCTCTACTGAAACCGGGGAAAGAGAGGACAAAGACAGAGTCCTATCGACCAGTAAACTTGACATCCACACTGTGCAAAACCTTGGAAACAATGGTTAACATCTGATTACAGTTCTATCTGGAGAGTAACCGACTGATCGACGAAAATCGAAGCGGGTTCAGGGAGGGGCCACTTGGTGCGACTACAGCAAGTCAGGTATCAGACACTCCTCTCGGGGAGCCTGTTATGTGCCGTGTTCGTAGATTTAACTAAGGCTTTCGATTTAGTTTGGTTAGACGGGCTGCTCTTCAAGTTGGGACGCACCGGAATCACGGGCATAATGTTTCGGTGGATCAAAAGCTTTCTGAGCCATAGAAGGATACAGGTGAATGTTGGTAGATTCCTGAGTGCCGAGCAAATATTAAAAAATGGCACGCCCCAATGGGTCCATCATCAGTCCCACTCTCTTCAACATCATGATTAACGATATACAGAAATCGTCCTACCTCGACTACAAAACTTAGTTAGCAAAATTTGCCGACGACAGTACAATTTGGAGGAGAGGGACAAGCTACTGTGAACTAAAAAAAACATGTAAAGGGCCTTAAACAAATTCACGAAATAGGCAAACAATTGGGGATTCAAAATCTCAGAAAAGAAAACAGTCGGCATGCTCGTAAACAGGGATAGTAGGATTAGCAGAATGACTCTTTGTATGAACGGGAAAACCATCGAGTTTAAAGACCAAACCAAGTTCCTTGGCGTAATCTTTGACCGAAGGCTGACCTGGAAACAGCACATCGACTGGACTGTAGATAGATGCTCCAAAATCCTAAACTTAATGAGAAAAATAACGGGCAATTCGTATGGAAGGGTATCGCTGCCAATATTAAATGATCTGCTACAATGTCTTTTCTATTGATTATATGTAAAAAGTACAATGTACAAAGTCCTAATACCGGTAATGATAAAGTCAAAATACCTCTAAGGCAAGAGTTAAATGTAAAACGTCAAATGTTAAGTGTTAAATGACAAATGTTTTGTGGGAAAATGCTTTTTTTGACGTGTCTACATTTTACATTTCTCTCATTACATTTTACATTTGCTCTCTGCCACATCCTTTGTCCTTCACGCATTCTACATAGCATGTTTCGTACAGCATCAACTTGCATATGCAAATGTAGGATATCACGTGACTTATTAACATAGACGGAAACCTGGCACACTATAAGCCAGAACAAGGATATTCACGACACTATAACAGGAAATCAGCCTTTAGTCACCTTGACACTTTGGATGGCACTTTATGATGATTACCGGGGGTGGGGGTGGGGGCTGTGCAATGTCCAAATACGAAATTCAGGTATCATGTTACATATTAGTGAAAAGCACATTCATTTCTGTTTGTAAATATGTAAATAGTTTTCTGGTACAATCGTATTTTCATAATTTAAATCCAATAAATATCACACTATTAAAGGGGTATTCAAGTAAAATACTGGTCTAAATACGAAATTCCAGATACCATATTACGTATCACTGATTGCTCTTTTCAAATAATTTTCTGGCACATTCGTATTTGCTTAACTTTACAAAATAAGATTAATGTTGAAGTGAAGGAAGGGGGGGGGGACTAAACTAAAATAAAGATACAGGGCTTAATCAAAAATTCTCTATATCCATACTAAAAAATGTATAGTCATTTCTCTCTTTAAATATATTATTTATTTGTTGGGCACAATGCTTATTATTGTTTTTTAATGGATCAAAGTACTCAACTCTGTTTATAGAGAGACCGGAAAGAGTGGGAGGTGTTTCAAATATCAAAATACGGGTATAATATGAAATTCTAGTTATTGTGTTATAAATTACTGGAAAGTATGTTACTTTGGCTGTTTGAATCTATCAATTATTTCCTGGCACATTCATGATTACGCACCAGGACCCCCCCCCCCCACCCCACCAAGCTAGCAAGCTGGCTACGGGCCTGTTACGCACGTTCGTCTAGATAATTTCTTATGGGTGTCAGCTTGATTTCTGTGGTCGTGCGGTGAATATCCTTATAGTGTGCTGGTTTAAAGTGTGCCGGGTTTCCATATATGTTAATAAGTCACGTGATATCCTACATTTAAATATGCAAGTTGATGCTGTGCGAAAGTTGCTATGTAGAAAGCGTGAAGGACAAATTGGATGTGGCAGAGCTCAAATGTAAAATGTAATGAGAGAAATGTAAAATGTAGACACGTCAATAAAGCATTTTTCCACAAAACATTTGTCATTTAACACTTAACATTTGATGTTTTACATTTAACTCTTGCCTTAGAGGTTTTTTGACTTTATCATTATCGGTATTATGACTTTGTACATTGTACTTTTTACATATAATCAATGGAAACGACATTGTCGCAGAGCATTTATATTGGCAGCGATACCCTTCCATAAATTCGTGGGGAGCCAATAGAGTTACATTAATGATGGTGTATCGTGCTCTAATACGTTCTGTAATAGATTACGGCTCTCTGGCCTTCACGAACTGTGCGCCAACACTCTTAAGTAAGCTTGACACCATCCACTACAAAGCTCTGTGTATTGCGACTGCCGTAGGGCTTGGGACAAGTAGAGAAGCTTTACTACAGGAAGTCGGGGAGTTGCCCCTATCCCTAATTAGAAGAAAAGAACTAGCGACAAGATATTGGGCTAAGATCTCGCAACTGGGCGAAAGATCCCCAACCTTTGTCAGCCTAAAAAAGACAAGATATGCGAGAGATCCTAGAAAGAAAAGCTTCGGAGGAGGGTGTCAAGAAAACAGCCAAGGAGCTGCGACTGGGGGAGCTCGCGATAAATGAAAGCGACCCTCCAGCGATCGCCCCTTGGACACTCCCAATAATACCCCCAGTCAATCTAGATCTACTACAGAAAACGAACAAGAGAAATAACCCTATTGCTGCACGTGCTTTCTCTCTAGAACACCTGGAAGACAACTGGCCGTCTGATGACTTGGACCATGTTTATACGGATGGCTCACACAATCCTGAAAGGGACACCAGCTCGTTTGGAATATACCTTCCAAACAGGGAACAGGGAATAAGCAGGAAACTGCCCAATAACTGTTCGGTGTACACTGCAGAGATTGTGGCCATCCGTGATGCTATATCATGGATCTCCCATCAAGTAAGTTCGTCATTCCGAGCGATTCTGGGAACTAAAGCTCGTTGAACTTGACACATACAGATTCCGGCTGGATGACAAGATCTAGACGAAAACAGCGATCAATCACCCTAGAAGAGATATATGCAAACTTATATCGAAACTAAACACCAAGTCATCGTCTGTTAGTGCGGAGAGGAAATGTACCACCAACCATGTCATAGTAGACTGTGGGGTATTTAAGAAGGAGAGAAGGGGACTAGTGAGGATGATGGAGAACAACATACCGCTCAACACTATATAACCTACTCTTTCCAAGACCAGATCTGAAGCTGCAAATCTTCGAACTAATCCACGATCTAATGACCACGGATGGATTAAGTAGAATAGTAGAGTAAGAGAGGGTCACATTAGACGAGCTCGGAAAACTACACAGGGGAGAAAAACCAAATTAGCAGGATAGTGGAGTAAGGGAGGGTCACGGTCAGACAGGCTCGGCATCTAAACTTTAATCCGCTAAAAGACACCAAAACCGGCAGAGTGGGATAGTGGAGTAAGGGGCGGCCACGATAAGACGGGTCTGGCACCTAAACACACAAAGATGACATCTACCAATCCAGAAACGAGACGCATATAATCATGTCCGCACATATGCTGTCCCCACAGATCAAAAACCGAACTATACGCTTTTTATTAAATAAAGGGAATAACTTCCCACTAAACCTACGCCATGGCCTACGGCCGCAAACGGAAAGATTGCAAAATCATATTCTAAAAACAGGAGGAAGCCTTGGCTCTCCTATGTCTTGTCTGCGGATATCACTTCTGTGGAAGCAGAAGTTAAAGCACCAGGTAGTAGTAGTAGGCAGTCATTATAACTTTCAAAATGCTTCGATTCTTATCTACCACCCAGTCTTCTTCCAAGCGAACACGTGACGACGATGAAACACCCCTATCCGCAAGTTCTGTTTCAAGTCGTTTGCCGTCACCCAAGATAAGCAGGAAATTTAATCCGAAATGATCTTCAAGTTTTTCTTGGTTGCGTTACGACAATGCTTTGCAGAAAATGTTTTGCCAGGTTCGTTTAATATTTATTTTAATCTAATACTTCTATTTTCAGGAAGTGTAAAGTGCTACGAGAGATTTACGAATTGTGTAACGTTGATACATAGAACTGCTACGAGCCTACGAGATATATACCAATTATTGTAAAGTTATTGCGTACAAATCCCCCGTATCCATAAATGTATCTTTTATTATAAATACTATATAATAGTTTACTAATTTGTTTTTTCAGCCATGTCAGAAACATAACAAGAAGAATAACTTCGTGACCGGCTCCATGAATTTTCGTAAATCGGCCATTACAGACCATGCTGCGTAAATGATCACACAGATGCTACAAAAAAAGAAGATGAACTATCCAAAGCAGTTCTTGTCGAAAAGTTTTTAAGTATGTTCGATCAAGCTGACATCGCCATGTTGACTCTAATTCGTAACTCATATTACATCGCAAAAGAAAACCTCGCCTTTAAAAAACCTGGTTCCCTCATTAATTTAGCAGAGCTGAATGGATGTCAGATGACGTCTAAGTTATATAGAGATAGAACTGCAGCCTCGAAGTTTATTGAAATAATATCGTCCAATTTACATGACACAGTAATTACCGGAAATCGTTAAAAATCAATATGATTCTTCGCTTCATGACCTTAAACACTGTGTATAAATTTAAAGTCAATCGGATATTAACTTTAGCCTCTAGAGCGTCCAGAAGATTTTTTGAAGTGATCAAGGACCATAACTCTGGCAGTAATTATCGGAAATCGCTGAAAATCAATAGGCTTCTTCGTTTCATGGCCTTAAACACTGTATATAAATTTAAAGTCAATCGGATATTAACTTTAGCCTCTAGAGCGTCCACAAGCAATTGTGGACGCCGGACCGCCTGACAGACGGACGGGGGCAACGACAATATACGATCACATTTCAATGTGGGTGTATAAAAATGAAAACCAAATGACGATCCGTTAAGAAATAAGCGAGATATGGGCAATCTGAGATTATTTTTGTCCCATCCGTAAAACACTTCCTGTTTGTCAAAAATGACTCAATTTAAATTTAATATTTAGTTACACGGTGGCCAACAGTATCTACGTTGAAACCGGAAGTGAACAAAATCAAATTAAAAAATCGGCTCCCTAATTAAGGATTGTTGCCATTTGGAGTAGGTTCAATACAAAAAAAAGTTTTTGCAAAATCGGAATTAAAATTACGGCTGAATATCAATTCGAATGTTTTTTGTAAAATCCAATATGGCAGCCAAGCGGTTGAACAAGGTCTTTGAAAATGAAAGATAATATCTGGGGCTAACACCACCATGTCATTTTTGTATATTTTTAAAATTGTGAGAACTATTCATGTTCGGGAAAAATCGGAAGGCCTTGGTAATTTCGGGAAGTTTCTGGGGGCCGTTTTGAAGGCATCAGTGTGTTCCTTATTCCTACCAAGTTTCAACTTGATACCCCAAATAGTGACGGAGATATGCCATCTTGAATGTCGAAAAAATGATGAAGAAAACTTTCGGAAATCTTTGATGCTAATATTAAGACAGTAAAATTCCGAATTTCTACAAACCGTCAGTCAGGGCCTATCGGATTCGTCCAAATAATCCAAAAATGAAAACCCCGAAGAAGTTCTGTTGAGAAATATCCGAGATATAGGCAATCTGAGATTATTTTCTGTCCCATCTGTAAAACACTTCATGTTCATCAAAAATGACCCAACTTATATTTAATAAATAGACGCACAGAGGCCAACCACATCTACATTGGTAAAATATTTGCACCATGTACAGTTTTGGCTGCACAAACTGACTAAATTCCAGAAAAAGTAATAATAAAAACACTTATGGAAACAATATGTGTTTCGACAGAGCTGACTCCAGCTTAATCTTTTACATCATATCATTAGCCCAGTAAGAAGTTAAACCCCATTTCATTTCACATCATATTAATTTCAATTCAAAACTCCATTTTCACCTAAATCAAAGAGTTTCCTTCCTTTAATACCGGAACCATACAATTATTATTATCAAATTTTAGTTCAAAAATAAATGTGGAAACGATTCATTGGAATATTTGTAAACAAGTATTTAAATTGAAATAGTTTTTCAATTCTATCTATATGAACTGATTTTTTAGTATTTTTTATTAAATGTAAATTAATACTCATTGAATTGGATATATCTTTGTATTCTATGAAATATTTAATAATAATCATTCAATGAAATCAATTAATATTCAAAACTAAACAAACAAATAAAAAAAGATATATTGATTTAACATATTATACATGTAGTTTGTAGAAATCTAAAAATGCACCGTAAACAGTCCCAAAGTTAAATTGAATATCAGAATCTGATGATAAAATTATTAAAGTAAAAATTTATTCACATTAACGGAGGAACATCAGGGTCATCAATAAAGTTTTCACTGTTTTTGCGTTCACTTGATTTTGTTATTTGTCTACTCCCCAAAGGAGGCACTGTGGCTTTTTTATCATTAACAATATCACCAATCTTCACACACTTATGTACGCTGGCATCAACTTCTAAAACCTCTCTTCGAATTTTTGTATCCTGTGTTTTTGTCGGAGGCTTCTTTTCTTTTTTTTTAAAGCTATCATCAACAGGTGTTTTTGGTAAAGTTGAAATGATGCCATCACCAGCCTTTGGCATGTAAATGACTAGATGACCGGTTGTTTGGGAACGTTTCGCAGAACTAGAATCTGCTTTAACTTCTTCTGGTAAACACAGCTGAAATATCTTATCCTTAACAACAATTTTCACATAATTTGGCTGAACATCACAATCTAATAATGAAGTATCCATATGTCTAAATATAGCTAAATCTAAAACAATATTATTATTGTCATCATCAGTCAGACTAAAGTCTATCTTAGCTTCATTAACATTTAACGGTCGGCCGTCACTTGAAAATAACCGTCTTGGAATCTTTTCTACTTTTTCTTCTTGAGGTTGGTTCTTTTCCTTATTTTTCTGAACTTGTTTATGAACTGCTATTCGCGATTCTGGAGTAAAATCAACTTTCTCATTCCAAAACTCTTCATTTTGTTCGTCATCTTGTTTGTCTTTTTCGGCCTTTTCTGCTTTGTTCATGTCTGTATACCAACGACCGTCAAATCCAGCTTTTTTCTCACTTTTTGGTTCTTCATTTTTGTTCTGTTTTTCTTCACGCTCTGCCGCTTCCCTTTTTTGTTTTTCTCGTTTCACTTTATGCTCCAACTGTTGCTGAACAATTCTTGTTCGAATTAGAGAATAATTCTGACAGGCTTTAATTCTTTCTGACTTTTCAATTTCCCTTCCGTCTAAATACTGTAATTGCGGTAAAGTACCTAAAACATAATCTTTATATCCTTCATATTCTGTGCATGGATTTCCTGTTAAAAATAATTCACGAAGATTATAATTATTTTTGAGACTTTCCAAACTTGTCAATTCACCAATGAAATTCACAGTCAAGTCTAATTTATTCAAACTTTCACAACCATCTAAGTTTTCAATTCTCTCTACATTATTTAGAGCTAAGTTGATGTATTCTAGTTTCTTTAAACGAGTAACATTTTCTATCTTGGGTATAAGGTTACTCTGTAAATATAGAATCTTCAAATCACGACACCATTTGTCCAAATATTCAATACGCTCAATATCTTGTTGATGTAGCGAAATTTCCTCTAAAGTTGATATTTCGCAGTTATTATGTTCTGCTCTCTTACGAATTAGATCTTCAGAAATTCGAACCATGATTACTTTTCAGATATTAAAACACAATTGCCACGACTTCTAGAATTACTGGTTAAAAACTGGTTCAATCGTGCTCGAAACCTGCTTAGAAACAACATTTGTTTACATAGCTATTTGAGGTTTTTCACCTCTAAAGAAGCACACAAGGGGAAATAACCCGTACAGGTCCTTACTATGGGGATCAGACCACAACAATTATCCTGGCGTTATTTTCTTCATAAAGAAGACCAAACGAAAGTATGGAAAAATAGATGTTAGTATTTGATATCATTACTGAATGTTGCACAAGCAATTTTATTTAAAGCCAATAATTAAAAGTATCAAAGTTACTTTTTAGCAATGACTCAATTCTCTTGCTATGGGCTATCACCATACACCCACTTGGGCATATTTCTTTAATTAACCATAGAGTGTGCTATGATGTAAATTTTGCCCAAACATCAGCATTTCCACATACTCTTCGTCCAATTCTAACTGCCAAGGGTTGTTTTAGTTGCATGGCAACATGTACATGGGACCTATGGCTTTTCGTGTTTCAACCAACCGACTAGACACCGTTCCTTCCCAGGCCCTCAGTCCTGCACGCTGTTAAGGGGAAACCATGCTGGAAAATTCTGAGAAACTTGAAACTTTCTTGGCCAACACCAGGTTCGAACCTGGGACTCCCTGGTTGGTAAGCAACTAATTACTCACTAATTACTCAAACCCAAAAAGAAAATAAACAACACATTCAAGAGATTTCATAGATTTATGTTGAAGAAAACAAAACATATAAAAAAGTTAAGATATAAGAACACCTCAAGCTGAATGTTAATGAATATTTGCGTATAAAATTTATCAGTATATAATAACAATAGACCATATCTAGTAAGATATTTAGTCTTAATACGTGAGCACTACAGACCACGTTACATATATTGATCTCCATGTACAAGTATCAGGCTCAGCAAGGAGTCTGGGAAATTGAACTGATATACATTAGCTTTAAGAACTAATTTGAAATGAATAATATATTGATCTATGAAGAAGAGCAATATTATGCAACAAGTATTTCAAAAAACCTCTCTTAAAGTTTTATTGTATTGACAATACTTCATAATGGCATTTGTTAATTAAAGCTTTTCAAATATATTTATCTAAGTCTATTTTTGATTAATTTTATCAAGTTATTGAAAGAGACAGGTACACACTATTATTATCAGTAAGTAAATAAATTCTTAAAATATCACATAAATAACAAACATTAACAAAAAAGAAAAGAAAAGAAAAGAAAGAATGATCATTAAGTTACACGAAACAAAGACATGATAATGATACTGCCATACATTAATTTAAATGAATATATTGTTATTACCATATTCACTGTAAATACTGCCATACATCAATTTCATTGAATAAATTGTAATTACCATAATCACTGTGAATAAATACTGTCCACCTTTTGTGCTTATTTGAATCTGTAATAATACTAACAAGCAACTGAATTATTTTTTGGTCCAACAGTAAGCATGCACAGAGCTTCCAAGTTCATCACATATTGCCATTATTTTGCTTTCATCTAAGAGTATGGGCCGTTATTACAGGTCTGTCTATACTATTCAGAAAACTCCTTACTATATATCAGAGATATACATGTATGAATAACTGAATTAAACCAACACATAACCAGAAAATGACTTAATCAATCGTCTAATATTATTACACCATACATTCATTTCTTTCGAAAATTTGTCCTATCATGTTTTACATGACCAATCCCACCAGGTTTTAAAACATTCTATCAAAAATGTGTCTTGTATCCTGTTCACAAGCTTTCAAAAACTTAACTTTGCATTTGAGAAATTTTGAATTTCGATGGGGCTTTTCTCTGCCACCAAATGAATATACTCTGCGAATTTGATAATAATATTTGAAGAGCATTCACAAGAAAAGTTGAACAGATAACTGTGAGGAAGATATGCATCCTCAAATTGTGAACGTATTATAAATGTGGGTTAATAAAAATTTAATTATACAGAGCATGCCTAGCTCCATTCGAGCTGTCTAGTCGTTTGGCTAGGATTAAAAAAAGAGGTCCCATGTACACACTGGTGTGCACGTAAGAGATCCCTTGGCAGTTGGAAATCGATTTAAGAGTAGGCCGTAGCGCTGCTGTCCAGGCAAAATTTCCCTTACAGTACACTGCATGGTGTATGCCTGTCTTCATTAGCCCAGTAGGAGCAGAACAGTAGGACAATAAACCCCATTTCATTTCATTTCCTAGTTCCATTTGAATTAAAATATCTGATCAATCCAGTTCAACACTTTAATTTGACCTATAACCAAAAAGTTCTTGAAAACTTTAATAAAATATTTTTAAAATATCCAATAAACTACTTAATTCAGATATGCTGCATAATAGTTAAAGTAAAATATATATATTTATATATGGTTTTGGCAAGATAACTAAGTAATCATAACTAAATTATGAACTACATGTATATAAATAACAAAAATAAAACAAAAATATACAGAAACTATGAACTAAACATAAACAATAAATATAAATAATACTTAAAAGTCTTCCATAACTATACTTTTTCAGTTTGTTAAAATGGCTAAATAAACCTCTTTGATTTGGCTAAAATATAGAAGTGTTGAAGTACAATGTGTTGATAAACATTCTGAATGGGTATCTCTCTACATTTAAAATTTTAAGTCCACACAGAAGGCCAATGTCGATTTTGTGTTTTCCTGTAGACAGTTTAAGCCAAAAACTTACTCTCGCTTACTATTTTGACAATAAAATTTAATTGTTTAGATTTTGTCCCATAAATAATAAAACTTTAAACCAATACACAATGCTTTATTTTGACCTTTAATCAAAAGAGGTTTAGCCCATTTAAATTTATTTTTCAATTGAGGTATATCTACACAATTATGCCATTAAATCAAGGTGATCAAATTTATCAAAAGGTACTGATCATCTACAAAATTTCTCCACAATCTTTGCAAAAGACAAATAAAATTGACTTTAATCGGACTTCATTTATTTACCAACTAATAAGAGAAAATGTTTTGAAATTTAATTTAATAGTTAATCCGATACAAATATTTTAAGACTTTAGTCACTATATAATATAACGTCCTTTACTAGTAATTCTCTTGAGAGAAAAATAATTAAATTTTGTCTAGGAATGTAGTATCATTACATGTAATTTTAGACTCCATATCTTAACATTCATACAAATAATTTGCAAAATTTCAAATAAATGAGAACAAGAAATAATTACGCAAGAAACACTCTTTATACAATCGTACGTCATATACATACATGCTCATATCAAAAGCAAGTAGAAAAAATATTATGACAAAAATATCACATTAAAAAAGTCTAAGTACTTGACATTACATCATTCTAAGCTTGACAATAAAATAAGTTAAATCATGGCATGCATATCTTGTCAATAGCTACAGGTCAAGTGAGAGTAATAGCCAATTGATATCATATCCAAATAGCATTTCAGATGGAGATTTTTCGACATCTAATTAATTCAGGTATCTCAAATTTTCACAAATTACCATCAATCTGACTTAAACACAGATGCTATATTGTTTCGTTTTTTATAGTTCAAAATTTCATTTTATTTGTCTTCACTACACAAGGATCTGGAAAGGTTGTAAAATAAGCTATTTTTGGTAGATGTGATGGATAGCCAATCAAATGGTCTGTTGGGTCAAGTTCTTAGCATGCAGTGTGCAGAACTGTGGGTAGACATTCATAGAAAAGAATTCAAAGCAAGAGTTGTATTTCTGAAAAACCCCTTAAAACACTGAAGCTCATTGGTTAATCAAATGATAGGGTCAAAATCCACTTGTCATAGGGTCAAAATCCACATGTAAGACACCCGACACAACCTCCCACTACAACTGGTCAGATCTTCATATAGTGCAGGCCATCGAAAGTATAAAAACGAAATGAAATATAGATCTGTATTTCAATCAGATTGGAAGTAGAGGATTGAACCCAATGTAGCCGAATGTAATTGACCTCCTATTATCACCCTGTCTTCCTTTTCTTCATTTTATAACAGATTAGTGCCACAGTCGTTTTTCTTTGTGTCACGATAATAAATATCCATACCTTTAATTTACAAAAAGATGGAGAACAAGTCTCACTTCTATTGACTCTGGACTAGAACTAAGTAAATTATACAGAAATATTTACATTTGTTTAAAATAAATTATATTTGTATTATTAGTAATAAATCAATCTAACACTATAAAAATGAAGGCCATCACACATGTGATTTTTCATGGGATTCATTGGAATTATTCATAATGACATTGCATGGTGATTTAATGCAACCACATAATTAAAAATATGTTCTGTTCAGGTTAATTAGGTCAAGTAATACAACTGGAAAACTTATTTGTAATGAACAGTAGGACATTTCTTATGGTTCAGAAAAATTATATTATAGACTGAAAGTGGTTAGTAAGCTTAACAAATATAAAATAAAGAAATCCTAACCACTTTTCTTGATGGTGAATCGTAACAGTCAGTTGTTAACAAATCACTTGTTAATGATAATGATGGTATTTTTAGAATTTCAATAAGTTTTTGGCAATAAATATAATTTTCCTTTAGTTTGGATATAGCCTGTAAATGATGATTATGTAAATAGATAATTGAATTTCTATAAACAAAGCCTACAGAGCATCTAAGAAAAATCACATGTCATTGGTGCCACTAAAATGATTAATTCTATTAATTTATACATATAAATAATATGTCAAAATAAAAGATTTTAATACTTTAAATAATATAATAGAGTATCTAAATCATTGTGACCTTCAATTGATCGCTATCAATACTATTAAAATTGTAAATCATATATATAATGCATTATTTAACAAGTGTGTAAGGTCACTATCTGTGAAAATCTGAGCATTTTATATGAATAATATGTATTAACTTTGGAGCTGTGATGAAAAGCAAGCCATAGGTTTCTTAAGATTATGAGACATAGTAAGTGCTGCCATTCTAGACTTGAATTGACTGAGACCTCTTCATTTGGGTCAAAATAAACTGCTGATTTCATTAGATTTGATATGTTGATTTTTTTTTTGTGGATGACGATCTCTCTTTGTCTCTAGACAAAGCAATAGTTCAACCAATTTCGTATTTCAAAGTATGGTAAGCCAAAAATGAATATAAATTTACTAAACAAGTCAACTAAAGCTTAATCTTTCAATACAAAAAGTTAATAATGAAATAACACATTAGATCAACTCCATTCTATACTTTATATTGACCTAATGTAAAGAGGTGTAGCGTCTTGAAAGGAGAAGTCCAGTCATTGCAGATTCACATTTTTTTCATTCATTATCTATTATTAAAATAGTTTCAATCATGCTCAGCCTAAAGTACAAATTGTATTATTTGTTAGTAACAAATTAACACTTAATATGCAGGTTGTGATCTTATGAGAGTAACTGTCATAAAAAAAGAGCAGTGTTTCTTTGATCCAATGTATGCACCCATAGTAAGAAGAATAGCTATATAGCAAAAGCACATTGTTTTATTCATAAATAGAGAGTGAAATTTACCCTAATGACATTTCAGTTGGCTTTTAGTTGGTTAATTAAGGGCAAATAGCATATATATATGTCAGGTACTGCATTGTGGAAACTATTCTAATACTTCATAATGAATCTGTGATGTCTGGGCTTTTCCATTTAAATAAATCAAACATCAATATTCGGAAGATGTTCTGATATGTTTAGTTTTTTTTGCAGTAAAACCCACACGGGAAGGTAAAATCATGTGGTATATAAAGCAAAATTTTTTCAACGAAAACCTATGGATTTAGTGGAATGTGTGAACGATAAAATTTAATGGAAAAGCATAAGTAGTCACTGACATGTGCTACTTTAAAACCAGAACAACTTCTGTATTCTGTCATCGTGAATTTGTACATTGATAAACAATTTTAATAATAAACACAAAAACATAATATGGAACACAATTACTATTTTAATTAAAGTGACGTTATATTGAGTGCTGTCTCAGTGTTATCAAGCAAATGATGATGAATATAAAATACAGAGAGACCCGTCAACGCAATGTCGCTTTAATTAAAATTGTAATTGTGCCCCATATTATGTTTTTTTGTGTTTATTACATGTGTCAAGTGCTAAATACCACTCAAAGAAAACATTTGTATGTTATGAGACTCTGATAAAAAGGCTCATTCTCGATCAAATTAACCATGATAAAACGGCTCAACCACCAGTTAACCCTTGGTGAAGCAACATTCCAAGGGTTGATCCTTGTCAAAAATGATTTCTAAAATTTGGTCTGTGTTGAAACAGATTTGGAAGAAATTTTATACGATAATTTAGCTACAACTGTTGGCCGATTTGACATGAAATGACCCAAACTTCACACAAGCAGACTTTTGTCCACAACAAACAATAAAAGATTACGATTGGAATCGAAGTTAGTTATATACAGACGAATGAAAATGCTGTTTAAACAGTTGCGAACATTAAATGATTATGCGATAGCTAATGAAAAAGATTTCATGTGTAAAAAGATTTGATAACAAGATTCAACTCTAAATAAAACTGACGTTATGCAATGATATCCCCTTCTCCTGGCTCGGCAAATAGTCCTCTAACTTCTAAAATGCTAGCAAGATCAAGAACTATTTTGTAGAGACTCGGGTGCTCAAGAATTTCATCTGTAGGCAGTGAAGGGTGTGAAACTGGGTAGTAACTTGGTCCCTGTAAAAATATAATATGCATTTGATTATCAGATTTATTCCCAAATCCATCTAGTAAAATTCATATCAAAGTGGCATTATGAAAGAGTTAATTCTGCCTATTGCCAGTCTTTATCTTGGCTTCAAATTATTATTCAGATATTTATTCTCTAGACTATCGGATGGTGGAGATTTAAACATATTGAAATGTGATCGCTATTTTCATACATTATATATACTCTTTACACATGGGAGTTATAACAAAATATATAATGGTCATCTACCTCCACATTTATCAAATACAATGTTTGAAATCTCTAATTTTAAATTAGCTGACTTCTACAATAAAAATACCAAGAGTTATACAAGTCTTTGAGCTTAAACTGTAAGAATACCTAAATTAATATGCATATTCTTCATTTGGCATTATAAAAGGCTGATTTATGATGAAAAATTATTCCAAAATACATAAGACTCATTGCCAGTATAAATATGTTTTAATCAGAAACATACTTACCTTAAACCCTCTGTGTAAAATTAACACAATATAGCACAACACAAAGCGAAGCAGTAATAATCGAAGAAAATCATCACCGAAAAACTGCATGTAGGAATGATCTACAAAATAAACAAACAACTATGGTAAATTCTTACCAAATCCAAATTCATACGTCAATGTACATGTGTACAATACAGCTTTGATTACAAAATTTTCTCTAAGTGCTAACTGTAAATAATTAGACCATTCATAATGGGCATTATTTTTTGATTTCAAATAGAGAAATGATGTTTAACATCTGCTCGACACAAACCCAATAATACCTTGCAGATATTTATTGTCAGCAACAAAAATTTGTTCTGGATAAAATAACACTATTTTAATATCTGGTATATGGTGGCTTAGTTTTTTATGTTAAAAGTTCAAGAAACCATACATTTCAGACAACACCAGGGTACAGGCAGCTGTATTTATATAACTATGCTTTATATCAACTTCCACCGGGTCGATTTAATTTTTTGTGTTCCTAAATAAAATTAACTTACCAAGTTTACGAGCTCTAACAAAGAGTTTACTGGCCTCCGCCATAAATTTATCTATCTGCATTTGGCACTTGTCCCATAGTGTGATAGGAATATCAATTATATTACATACATAACAGAATGCCATAAGTGGACAGTGAAGAAATAATGTAAACAAGTTCCCTTTCTGATGCTGATCTATGAATAAAAAAGAAATGTAATGAACTGATATATAATCCAAAAAATGAACAGAGATCAACAGTTGTAGGTTTGAAAGATGTGGTTTTATGGTGAAGTACTTTTTCTCTGCAACTACTGAAATGATTTAGTTAAAACCAAAGGCCAATCCTTTTCCTTATTTAAATTGAACAACATAAGGTATGAAAAGTGTTTTTAGATAATAATTTGGAGGATTAACACCAAAAACCTAGGTTAAATAGCACTTTCAGTTAGAAGGAACCGGCCATTATGGTATCAATCTACTTTTGGCTAAATTACAACGGGTTAATCAATACTAAGAAGTCAATCAACTTGCTAGTCGGCCACAATAACAGTTATACCTTACTGAGAATCGGTCATGTGGTTCATAATCTGTAATTAGCACATATAACGACTAGTTTTGACAATCCGGTAAAAAGATAAGTTGCCAGGCAACAAAACATACGCTCACAGCAGCTATATCTTCCGGGCAGTCAACAAGAGTTGTCGCATATTTTTACTTTTTTCAGTAATGAAACATTTATAATACATTAAAATCTGATCAAGGGTAACAACTCATTAAGTATTTATCAGAAAACCATTAGAATTTATTTGGTTTTTATAAAGTTCTGCCCCATGCTAACGTTTAGTATACGAACTTTTAACATCATGGATTTAGCTGTTCACGTCATAAAAATTCATTGAAAATCAATATACTTGTTCGTCTCGAGACCTTAAACTCTGTGTATCAATCTGAAGTCAATCGGATGATAACTTTAGCCTCTAGAGCGTCACAAGATTTTTCAAAGTGATCAAGGGCCATAACTTTGGCAGTAATTATCGGAAATCGTTGAAAATCAATATGATTCTTCGTCTCATGACCTCAATCGGATATTAACTTTAGCCTCTAGAGCATTTACAAGAATTTTTGAAGTGATCAAGGGCCATAACTATGGCAGTAATTGTCGGAAATCGCTTCTTCGTCTCATGGCCTTAAACACTGTATATAAATTTAAAGTCAATCGGATATTAACAAGATTTTTTGAAGTGATCAAGGGCATAACTCTGGCAGTAATTATCGGAAATCGCTGAAAATCAATAGGCTTCTTCGTCCCATGACCTTAAACACTGTGTATAAATTTAAAGTCAATCGGATATTAACTTTAGCCTCTAGTAATTGTGGACACTGGACCGCCGGACGGACGGACGGATGGGGGCGACGATAATATAAGACCACATTTCAATGTGGGCGTATAAAAACCGGAAAATACTGGTTATCGGAGATTCTGACTAACCTTGCATGGTTGTAGGAACTTGTTCCGGTGATAGAAGACAAACCAATGGTTGACCAAATAATGTAGGGAAACCCTGTAATAAATTACAGCACAAATTTTACTATATAAGTCTATTGAACTATCATAACTTCATGTGCACATTGTCAAACGGACACCTTGTGGCCTATTAAAAGAAAGCAATATCCTCCCATTACTCAAGATTCAAGAATTAACTGCTCCAATACAAATATCCACCACTACCACTAACAACAACTTCAACTAGCGGTTGCCATGCAAGATATGCCCACATTTTGCAAGAGATGGATAGAGAACAAGCTAAAAACATAAGCGATTTTTCGTACAATCAGGGGCCATAATCCAGAAAGATATGATCTGAAATGTGCAAATATCAAAAGGGACTGAGATCTTTGGGATATAAAGATATATTTTAAGTTTCATCAAAATTGGATAAAAATTTTGACTTCTGGAGGGTACACAACCTTCCTATTACATACTTTTACACAATTTGCGTACAAAGAGTGGCCATTTTGTCGGGCAGTTTCATTGCGATTTTCACAAAATTCGAATCCAACCTTCATTATGGTGGAATGGTGATATATTTAAATGGTTTTTAAAATCGGATAAAAAAGTGACCTCTAGAGAATCCACAAGCTAAAAATGTGATTTTTCGAACAATCAGGGGCCCTAAAGGAGGTTACGTTCGGATATGCGCGATTATCCAAAGGAATCAAGATCTTTGTGATATAAACATAAATTTAAAGTTTCATTAAAATCGGATCAAAATTGTGACCTCTAGAGGGTCCACAACCTTGATATAACAGATCTTTACACTATTTGCGTAACTAAGAGGGGCAGCCCTTTTGTCTGGCAGTTCTGGTCCAATTTTGACAAAATTCAAACTCAACCGACACTACAGTGCAACGGTGATATATTCAAACATTTTTTTTTCAAAATCGGATAATAATTGTGACCTCTACAGGGACCACAAGCTAAAAACGCGATTGATAATACAATCAAGGGCCATAATTCATTAAGTCCCGATCCGATATGCGCGAATACTGAAAAGAACCAAGATCGTTGGGTTATAAACATGTAATTCAAGTTTCATCAAAATCGGATCAAAATTGTGAACTCTAGAGGATCCACAACCTTGATATACCAGATGTTTACACTATTTGCGTAAGAAGGGCAGCCATTTTGTCTGGCAGTTCTGGTCCAATTTTCACAAAATTCAAACTCAACCGACACTACGGTGTAACGGTGATATATTCAAACGTTTTTTTAAAATCGGATAATAATTGTGACCTCTAGAGGGACCACAAGCTAAAAACGTGATTTTTCGTACAATCAGGGGCCATAATTCAGGAAATTACGATCCGATATGCGCGAATAAGGAAAGGAACCAAGATCTTTGGGTTATAAACATGCATTTCAAGTTTCATCAAAATTGGGTGAAAATTGTGACCTCTAGAGTGTCCACAAGCTAAAAACGTGATTTTTCGTACAATCAGGGACCATAATCCATGAAGTTATGGTCCGATACATGTCAATATCAAAAGGAACCGGACAGGGGCGACGGCATAATACTTCCACATGAAAATGTGGGCGGATAAAAATGCCAGGAATAGAAACAATGAAAATTCTTGAGATTAGGCATGACACAAACCATTATATTTCAAGCACTACAGGATTCATGAGATCTTGTTTTTAACCTTTCACAGTAACCTATTACATGTTTGCTCAAATGAAGAATGTAAGCTTTACTAAATGAAGAACTCTATTGACAAATAATTTTTCATTAACTGAAACTTAAATGTCCAAAAATTAAATCCCCTGGCTTCTTTGTTTTGCATGATGTAATTAGGATGTTATCTGTGCAGTTGTGGCTCTCGCTTGACATTAATCCGAAAGACATGCTATTGTCACTGTTGTTTTGGCATATGGTGGACATTGACCTTAATAAGAAATTACCTGCATATAGTACAAGTTGAAATGAAATAACTTAAATAATGTTATGTTTCAAACTGTGTGATCATATTGAATTTAAAATTCAAAATCTATTTTCATTCACTGATTATACATTACGCATATTGTACTGAGAGAGTAAAGAAATAAGGATTATTATTAACATCACAGTCCGGCAAACGGTGGCAAAATACAGCAGTGATATATTATATATATAGAATTAAAAAGAAACTTACTTGGAAAGCTGAACTGTTATCACTATCAACAATCAGAAATAAAGGTTTACGTGTATATGGATATAAATCTCCTGGATGTAAACTGAAAATACAATAAATAAATAATATTCAATAACTCAGTTATACATACATTGTACTTTAAATAATATATTGGAATGATGTGTTATCAAAAAAAGAAGGGGATATTAAAATGCAAATACCTATGCAGGTTGTGATATGATAAATAGTCATGGACACTTGACATGCTTTGAGAGTATATTCACAGATGAAGAACTTATCGCCCCAACAGAACCACTGAGCTGCACATGCGACACGTGGGAGGGGTTTATTGTCAAATTTGACACTTCCAGGAAGGGTTGATGAAAACTGCTGCATGCTAGTTTATAATATCCATGGTTGGTTTCCTATAGGTTCTTGCATAAGATTTACTGTTTCGTGTATCTTTGCTTTAGTTGTTAAGTTTAATTTGCAATGTGACATCTTCAACATGATGGACATCTACGTGCTATTGGCATGCTTCAAATGGGTTCTACACAGCGAGCAGTAGCCAACATGCTTAATGTGTCACAGTCTGTGATCAGCAGACTGTGGAACCGGTAACAACAAACAAACAATGCTGATGATAGACCTCATTCAGGTCGTCCTAGAACCACTACACAAGCCCAGGATCGATACATTTGTACACATGTCCTGCGAAATCGAGAACAAACGGCCAATCAACTTTCTGTAAACTTGTACCAAGTTACAGGAATTCGAGTTACACCCAAAAAAAATTAGAAATCGGCTACATGCAGCCCATTTGCATGCGCAACAACTGCATGTTGTGCCTCCATTAACTCACCAGCGTAGAAATTGGGGTAATCGTTGATAGGCGCGTGTAATGTTCTCAGATGAGTCCACATTTACTCTGGCCACATCCTGGCACCGATAGTTCTGCCCTTTGCTCAATGTGCAGGTTGACGTTTCATCTTTCAAGACGATAATGCCAGTGCCCACCGCGCTCGTGTCGTGAATGACTACCTCCAGCGTCACCATAGTGTCCATATGCCTAAGCCAGCCATAAGTCCTGACCTTTCCCCTATAGAGCATGTCTGGGACATGATCGGGAGACGTGTTCGTCAACGTCAACAGACAACACTCCAAGAATTGGGCGTGACACTGCAAGTGGAGTGGGTCAGATTGCCCCAAATCATGATTGGACAGTTGATTATGAGCATGCCACGACGAATTGCTGAATGTCTGAGGATTGATGGAGCAATAAGACAAAAATCAAAAATGTCCATACTTTTGACAGTGTATCTCTTTGTGAGCGAAATGGGGCCGTCAGATAAGCGGCCCATATGAACTGTTTATGTTCTTGTGTAGGCAATTGACCTGTTATTAACATACACTGGTTACCTCTAATAAAAACAGCAGTGCATTTCCGCATTTTGTATTGTTTCTGAATATCCCCTACTTTTTTTGAAGAATGGATATTATTAAATTTTAGTTTGTTTACTAATTTTAGTTTCTCTTTTAGCTGAAATTACTGACAGTTGGGCAATAAATCTGTTACATCTCAACACTTTACATCTAAAATTTTAAATGGAGACAAATACTAAATTTTACAAAACAAATCAACACAAATTTAATTAAACCAATACTTTAATGTTTTATCCAAATCCAAGCCATTTTACATTAGGAAGATGATTAATTCTTTCACATTACTGGTAGATGTAGGGGACCACCAAGTCTGTGCAGCATATAGTAAGTATAAACAGAACTGAATAAATCTTACCAATGCATTTCTTTCAATACACCGGGTCGTTTTCCTTTACTAGGTGTTTCTCCTTCTCTTCTACTATTAGTTACAACACCTCCTAAATCATATGCAGCTAAAATATAAATATAACAGTAATCAGCGGTGCCAGGCAAGATACACCCACATTTTGCAAGAGATAGACAGAGAACAAGTTAAAAAAAACAACATTATTTTTCGTACAATCAGGGGTCATAATCCAAGAAATTATGGTCTGAAATGCACGAATATCGAACTGGACTGAGATCTTTGGGATATAAAGATATATTTTAAGTTTCATCAAAATCGAACAAAAATTGTGACCTCTAGAGGGTCCACAACCTTTGTATTACATACTTGTACACAATTTGCGTACAAGGCGCGGCCATTTTGTCTTGCAGTTTCGGTTTGATTTTAACTGTGTAATTGTAATGGTGATTCATTTAAACGTTTTTTAAAATCAGATAAAAATTGTGACCTCTTGAGGGTCCACAAGCTAAAAACATGTTTTTCGTACAATCAGTGGCCATAATCCTGGAAGTTACAGTCTGATCTGCGCAAATAACGAAAGGAACCAAGACCTTTGGATTAATAACATACATTTCAAGTTTTATCAAAATCGGATAAAAATTATGACACTTCTAGAGTGGTCACAACCTTGGTATTACATACTTTTACAATATTTGCAAGGAATGCCCATTTTGTCCGGCAGTTTCGGTCAGATTTTTACGAAATTCCAACTCAACTTTCATTGATGTGTAACGGTGATATATTTAAACGTTTTTTTTTTTTAAAAAATTGATACAAATTGTCACTTCTAGCGGGTCCACAAGCTATAAATGTGATTTTTCGAAAGTTATGTTTGGATATGTGCGATTATCGAAAGGAACCAAGGTCTTTGTGATTTAAATATAATTTAAAGTTTCATAAAATCGGATCACAATTGTGGCCTCTAGGGGGACCACAATTTTGATATACCATATTTTTACACTATTTGGGTAAAAGGGCCGGCCATTTTGTCCGGCAGATTTGGTTCGATTTACAGGAAATTCGAACTCAAACGTCATTAGGTTGTAGCGGTGATATATTCAAATGGTTTTTAAATTGGATAAAGATAGGTTGCCAGGCAACTAAACATACGCCCACAGCAGCTAAATCATCCGAGCAGTCAACAAGAGTTGTCGCATATTTTTACTTAAAACATGGATGTTGACCAAATTGATATTGACCTTGATATTTACAATTTCAGATTATCACTTACATGATATCAACAATCACCAAGTCATAGGAAAATGAACTGTATATGATCCACAGTACCTACCATCATCTGTGTGTTTAGCATTTCCTAGGCAACCATCTGCTGAGATATATAATAACATTGCACCATTTGGTGGTAGCTCTTTAAAAGCTGAGGCAAGAAAGGTATTAAGTTGACCGTAAGTAGGTTTATACAGTAAGTATTTATGTGGATTGTCACGTCGGCTTCTATCTCCATTTTCCTGTAAATAATAAAATATTGTATCATGCTTCGATAAAATGTATAATTGTTTACTGCTCTATTGCCTCGTTTATTTGTAATACAGAAATTCACGTGAATCTCTGAATATACTTTGTGCAAGGCTTTTTGCAAGAGCTTACGCTGCGAATCTACAAGGACTCGCTTGACATTTTTCAAAAAAAAAAATCAAAAAAAATCTGAGAGAAATGTCGAGTCCGACATTGAATATCAGTGTTCTTAACCGGCTGTATTTTGTCAGCTTTAGCCGATTGATGTTTAATCTAGCTGATTGGTAAAACAATGAATCGGCCACCATGCCCATGGTATCATAAATCAATCTACTTGCTTGTCAGCTACAACAACAGTCATACCTTAGTGAGAATCGGCCATATGTGTTTCATAATCCAAGTAATTAGCACATTTAACGGTGATTTTGATAATCCAGTAAAAAACAAAACAAGCTTGCTGATTATTCATAACAATAATAGGTTGAATAAAAAAAGCCACATGGCGAATGAAGCATGGTTTGTGAATCGCACGTCTTCCACGCTCCGTCCGTGTGAATTCCATGTACCGGTAGATATTTAAATAATAACTGGATCATACATTGATGGATTCATTGACCAGTTGTTAGGTAAATTTAAATCTTCATTGAATATAATGCCCTGATAGAACATAAAATACACGGAGAGAGAAACAGTGGATATTTTGTAGACAGAATCTCCAATGGCGAATTCCAATGACACGTGACATATCAGTTGGAATAAGGTCAATAAACCAGTTCTAAATAGCGTTTACCGTTATGAATTTTTATTTTATACATATGCTGACAGAGGCTCAATGCCATGGTGCCGTATCAGATTATTTTGACTACGGCATTTTCTGATACTGCAGTAAACAATAAACAAAATTTTGTTTTTTAGACAATATTATTAATTAAGATTCAGAGGATTCGCGCAGATTGCATATATGAGAATCCTCTTAGATTCTCGCAAAAAAAATGACGGATTTATAGCCCTGGTAATAGCTTGACCAAGTCGAGTTTGACCAATCATAATAATATAAGCTTATGTCAAGCTTGCTTGAGCGTGACATAAGCCGTGGTTATCAACAGTCACTATGCAAGCCATTCTTGACAAGTATGTCTTTATTTTTTTGACAACATAGTCTCAAGTTTCAAGATCAGATATGTATAATGCACATGCTGTACCTAGAACTTATATTGAAATAAGTCAGATTTTTGTTGGTGATAATGCGAGAACAAGTGTACCGTTGTATGTTTCAGAAAAATATTATAATTAACATAAATGCTGCCCATTATGCTACTTTTCAGTAAAATGGCTATTATTGTAATTATATTGTAGGTGTACTTACAAATAATTGTCGACCGGGTGCTGGAGATACGTCATATATTTGATTAGTTAAATCTTCTTGTGGTTCTCGTTCTAATGTTTGTAACATTCTAAACATATCTAATGTTAATTCACTAAACTTCACCTGTAAATATAATAATTCAAAATAATACATAAATAATTTTATTAATATTCTTAAAGATACATTATGGGAGATAAGATAAAGCGATGGCAGTTCTCGCTATAATAGTTAAAAATAAGATAGTGTAAAGGTAATTTGCTGAAAATTTCAGTCAAATTGATCCACTATGAGCCGAGAAAGAAGCGAGTGAAATTTTTGCATAGTCTCAGTCATCATTACTAAAATCATTAATATAAACAGCATAGTCTCGATTATCCACTTTTATTGATTAAATTATCAATAGCCGTTAGCAGCATATAGCCTCGACATCGAGAGTTTATTATGGTCTGGATAAGTTAATTAATGTCTAATTGATAATTTAGATAACATTTCAGGCCTAAAGAAATACTTGTAATAAGCAGATTTTGCTCTTGCATAATGCATGTTTAAGTAGAGCTAAAATTATAGAACTTTTGAACCTATGACATCACAACCATTTTATGCAGAAAGCAGGATGGGAATTTCAAAGTTTTGTAAGGAATTATTCCAAAATGCCCACATTTATAGCAATAAATAAACATGCGTGGAAGTATCACATTATCTCTCAAAAATGGTGATTACCTTATGCTGCCATTTTGTAGTCTCAACTGAGTCAATTTAATACTCTATATGTATAATATCTATTAGTATAATGGGCAAGGTGCAGTTCAGTTGAGTATGCACTATTCAATGTGATTTGGAAACTTCTGATTAGACGATTGATAAGACATAGATTGTGATTGGTTGACAATACTTCATTGTCCCAATCAGACAAGTCAATGATTTGTCTGCAAATTGATAAAAGTACTCTGGCAATGTAGTATGTCATAGTTTTACGTAGTGTAGTATTAATACAATAGTACTCTGTCCAGTAGGTTGGTGGCTCAGTAAGACACTGGCTCGCTAACCAGGAGGTCTCAACATCTCCCATGGTTTCCCTCTGTCAGTGGTACAGGACGGACAGTCTGACAAGCAACAGTGTCTAAATATTCGGATGAGCGAAAAACTTTCAATGTACACATTGGCATGCAGATAAAAGCACCCTTGACTATAGTGCTGCTGTCAAGGCAAAATTTCCATCATATCACACTGTATGGCATATGCTAGACTTCATTAGCCCAGTCGGAGTATTATGCCCCTTTTAGAAACATTATTAAAATACCACTCACCTGTTCATGACAGTTACCAACTATGAGTATTTCTTGCAATGATAAATATACAGGAGCTCCTTTATCAGCTGGTGGTGTATTCAGTGGAGTTAATCGATGTGATAATACTATAGTAGATGAATCAACATCAACAACATTTATTATATTATCAGCCTGTAAATATTTACATATTACATTACAACTAACTATAAAATAATTCGACAGTGTGGCCCTGTTTATATGCAGATTCAAAATCAGATTATTTTTAGAATCGTAAAGGCTGTTGTACTGTTGTAGGCATTTGTCTTACTTCAACTAAAGTTGATTCATTAAAATTTTAGCATCTGTTTTTAAAGGCTCTATATGTGTACCAGAATAAACACTAAGTATAATTTTCAAGCAAAACAAGATATAAAGTAGTTCATCTAAAATGCATATTAAAATCTATCAATCCTAAAAAAAAGCCAACTGCTTCTCTGTAATCATGTCGACATTTGAACACTAACTCATTTCTACCTATAAACATTGAGGTCAAGATGATGATTTGGAAATTCAAAAATCCAAACCCCAAAGGTACCAGGCAGTGTAGTGTGTATCTCACACATAACACATGCATTCAATATAGAGCCGAGATGTACAATGTAATGTACAATTCTGTGAGTCGGAACATAAATCTGATTAACCACGTCATTCATGGTCAAAAAAATATGACAGCCAGGTACATGTACAATGTTTTATATAAAATATTCAAACACTTTTATTGTTCAATTCTAAAATAATCAAATATCTAAACAATATCTGATAACGTTAGGTATTGGACTGTTTAAACTATGAACACTATTTTCAATGTCCCAGACAGATGTTACATATATGTGTAAGATACAGAGCTATTTATATTGTAACATTTAGTATTTATATAATTGACAATACCTCTATAAAAGCCTTTATTTCCCCTAATACTAAATTCCATTCCATTTGATCTTCAGGTTCATATGTACTTGTATAATCATCAATCTGTTTCGCTAATTCCTGTCAAATATATAAACATGGTTCTTATTATACATGAAATAATTTCAATTTTGAAATTTAACCTGCTATTCTACAAACCATGTGACTTTCCTGGAAATAGATAATTATCTACCATCAAAGAAAACTGGTCCCTGTTTCACCAAAGCCAGGCTTAGGCAACATGAGTTCAGTAAAATTAGTTTATGTCGTCTACATGTATGGTTAAAGATAGGTAAAAACTGATAAAAATGGCTGGTTGGGACAGTGACCAGTATTGCTGAATGATGCATCTCTAAATAACAAATTACCTTTCAATGACAAACTAAGTGCAGCATGTAGCATGCACATAACCACCCACCCCTTGGTTTGATAGTGTTACTATGTCCATTTTTCACCATTGTTCTGACCATACATGTATGTTTGTTACATTTTTATGTGTTTTGCAATTCTCCTCCACTTCAGTTTTGATTTACATATATTTATTCTATTTTTATTTCAAAAAATATTTATGATCATTTCCATCCTTGATTTGTATTTATATTATATTACTCTTTTTTTTTTTTAACAATTTTAGTTTAATTTTTGTTAAGATTATTATTCTTCTTCTTATAATATTACTATTATTCTTTTTCCATTTTGATTAGATCTCAGCAACTGATTGTCGCATCATTACGATTTCGGTTTTACTGGGAAAGTGGGTGTGACTTAGAGGATAAAGCTATTTTGAACGTTTTGCGAGTCGCACTGTGACAATGCAAAATGTCCAAAATCACTGAAGCTATCGTTTTTTTAAAATATTGCAGTAATTTTAAAAATAATCGTTGGATTTTAACTTTCGATACATTTTGGCATAGCCGGAGACAGGGCACATAGCTACGCTACTTTTGATTTTTGATTTTTGGCAAATCTTTTCAGATATCAGGCGCCAAATTTAGAAAATTTTACAAAAAACTTTTTTATTTATGTATATTTTTGGGTCGTGTTTTACACAGAATTAAAGAGTCATCTGACTTGAGCAAAAATGTGAATTTTTTTTGTCTCAGTAATTTTCCTTGGCCGCCATTGGCCAATTCAGTTTTTCAGTCCTAGATTAATTATTTATTGTTCGATTTGTATAAAACAAAGTTCAAATGCTCCGTTGTCTCAATTGCCATTTTTTTTATTACCGTCAGAGTTACCTGTCGGCACCGGAAGTGGCGTAATTTTACCCAAAACTACAATTTGACAGTTCGGTACCAATTTTCGAAAGAAAATATTATTTTTCCTTGGCCGCCATTGGCTAATTCAGTTTTTCAGTCCTAGATTAATTATTTATTGTTCTATTTGTATAAAACAAAGTTCATATGCTCCGTTGTCTCAATTGCCATTTTTTTTATTACCGATAGAGTTATCTGTCGGCACCGGAAGTGGCGTAATTTTACCCAAAACTACAATTTGACAGTTCGGTACCACTTTTCGAAAGCAAATATTATTTTTTTTAAAAACTGATATAACTAAAAGAGTGTGCCCTTTAAAGGTGCAAAAAACCCTGTGAGCTCAGTTTTTTTAAATTTCAATTTCCTTTTCGAGCAAATTCGATTAAGATGTGAAAAAAGGTGTAAAATTGACCTATTTACAACCCATTCAGGCTATTCAGATTTTAATATATTTTTAAGTAACTTTTATAAACTTGTAGCTATAATCCATACAAATAAAATGCATGTTAAAATTAGTTTGTAATATAAGCAGTTGCCTAGAAATAGGCAATTTTGCATAAGTCACTGTTTTCGTTATTTTGCCTGTAAAAAAGTCAATTATTATTGGATTTTCATAAAAGTGACACCATGTGATTCAACAAGCAAGTATGTGTCAATTATTATTCGATTTTCATAAAATTTTCACCATGTTATGCATAATGTCATTGACGATGTCATAAAAAACTAATTTAAGATTTTTATTACCACCGGAAGTAATGTCATTTTGGCAAAAACTGTATTTTTAGTCCCCAAAACAAATATTTTGTTGTAATGAGTTATATTTATTATTCATTTAAAATTATAATATTTGATTCCCATTGACAAATAGTATGAATCAATGCGATCATATTTATATCAAATAATTGTTTCCAACATCTTCCCTTGCCGAGAAATTACCAATTTTGTCAGCATCAGGTTTTACGATTTTTTGCATTTTAATTTCAGTATATGGACTCTGGGTTAATTAATTATTGCCTGATTTGTATAAAACAAAAGCTCATATGCTCTGTGGTGAAAATTCTCCACTTTTTTCTACAGATAAACTTTTCTGTCGGCACCGGCCGCGACGTAATTTTGCCCCAAATTTCAATTTTGACGTGTCGAAAGTTCTTCCCAAAGGAATATATTAATTTTTACAATTTTGAAAGATCAAGATGAATGCTCCTACTAAAGACGCAAAATATATCGGGCTTAGTTTTTTATTCCGGTTTTGTATTTGCACCATTTTGATTTAAGGATGATAAATTAGGGATAAAAATGAGCTATTTACAATGCATTCAGGATTTACATATTTTAAATTATTTCTTGAAAACTTTCATATACCTGTAGCATTAATCCATACAAAGACAATGTATGTCAAAATAAGTTTGTTATATTAGCAGTTGCCGAGAAATAGGCGATTTTGCATCAGTCACTTTTCTCATTATTTTGCTTGTACGTAAGCGAGTTAATTATAGTCCGATTTTCGATTTTTCTTTACCATGTGATGCCTCATGCAACTTTTGACTGGGCAGAACCAATTTCACATTTTCATGGCATGGCACCATTTCGGAAAAAAACTGTATTTTTAGCGTCAAAACAGATATGTTATTCACATGAGTCTGATTTGTAATGTTTTTAAAATTATGGTATTTGATTCCAATTAACAAATAGAATGAACCCATACGATCATACAAATATCACCAAATGGTTTCTAACTTGTGCTGTTGCAGAGAAATAGATGATTTTCTACAAGTCACTTTTCAAGGTTTTTGGTTTATAAAAGTGTCGATTATTATTCAATTTTCATAAAATTTTCAACATATATATGATGCCTTATGCCATGTATGATTAATTCATAGAACTAATTTAACATTTTAATTATCAACGGAAGTAATGTCATTTTGGCAAAAACTGTATTTTTAGCCTTCAAAACAAATGTTTTTTTGAATTAGAGTTATATTTATTATTCATTTAACGATCATATAGATGTCCAAAAATTGCTTCTAGCATGATCCCTTGTCGAGAAATTCCCATTAGAAAGTCAGCTAACACTGGTAACAATGTACATGCATCAATGGAATTGATATTGTTGGATTTGGTTGATTCTGCATCTATTTTATAACACGTGTGCAATGCTTATGCGGAAATCTGTTCACAGTTTCATTGGTACCTGAAGTGACATCAGTTCAAGGGCAACATGGCACCGGAAGTGACATCAGTTCAAGGGTAACATGGCACCGGTGAAACCCTTTATTACTGCATCGCAGTTCTAGTTTTCATTATACTATAGTTTTATTCAATTTTTCATATGTTTTATTTTATCTACATTATATTTTGTGTAATTTTTATTGGGAACTACATGCTTCAGTAGTAACAGTGGCTCTCCTATCAATAATACAAAATCAATCAACTGCATAATTCGACGAGATCTGCACAGTAAAACCCACCATTAAGCAAAAGGTACAGATGTTACCATGGCATGATAAAATTGAGAACATTAATAGTACTGAACTAAAATAAATATATATAAATAATAAAGGGAGGAACTGTTTACAGTCTGCAAGACATTGTTCATTCCATGACAAATTGTTGCAACATGTGGGATATAAAATTGATCTAACTATTTACTTTCATTCCCAATGCACATGTAAAACTGTTGTCTAATTGACCAAGCATGCATAAAATGTTGACTCTCCATTTCAAATTATTAAAAATTATCCTTGTATTGTTAAATTCCTCATGATACAATCATGTTATTTCTTTATTACTTTTTGTTACTTTTGTTCTGATAATTGCTTCCTGTAGTGGTAAGAATTTTTTTTTCTTGTATCATTTCAAATTAGCCTTTAAGAATAACAGAGCATAAACAAATGTAGAAATACATGTATTGTCGTTGCGACATAGTTTTCAAATTTATAAACATGGAATAGAGAAAAATGATGGCATTTTATTGTATTAATTAATATCTTTGGCAAGTTATTAGATTCACATATACATGTATATAGTACTTAAATTAACTTAGTGAATGAATGACATATTGTTATACCAGCGGCTGCCAGGCAGGATACGCCCACATTTTGCAAGAGATGGATAGAGAACAAGCTAAAAACAAACGGGATTTTGTGTACAATCAGGGGCAATAATCAAGAAAGTTATGGTCTGAAATGTGCAAATATCAAAAGGGTCTGAGATCTTCAAGATATAAAGAAATGATTTAAGTTTCATCAGAATCGGACAAAAATTGTGACCCCTAGAGGTTTGACAACCTTCGTATTGCATACTTTTACACAATTTGCGAACAAAGAGCGGGCATTTTGTTGGGCAGTTTCATTTCGAATTTCCCGAAATTCGAATTCCACCTTCCTTCATTTTTTGAACAATCAGGGGCCATAATCCAGGAAGTTAAGTTCGGGTATCCGCGATTATCAAAAGGATCCATGATCTTATTGTGTAATGGTGATATATTCAGGCATTTTTTTAAATCATATAAAAATTGTGACCTCTACTAGGACCACAAGCTAAAAACGCGATTTTTCGTACAATCAAAGGCCATAATTCAGGAAGTTACTATCCGATATGCCGAATATCGTAAGGAACCAAGATCTTTGGGTTATTAACTTACATTTCAAGTTTCATAAACATCAAAAGAAAATTGTGACCTCTAGAGTGTCCACAACATTGATATACCATATTTTTACACTATTTGAGTACGAGGTGTAGCCATTTTGTCTGTCAGCTTTGGTCCTATATTTACGAAATTTGAACTCAACTATCCTTAGGGTGTAATGGTGATATATTCAAACG